AAACAGAAGGTCTTCTGCGCATAATCACCGCCAGCCACTTCCGCTTTCAATTCCTTCGTCATCGGCACATCCATCAGGGTCCATTCATCCCTTTTGACATCATATCTTTCGAAAGACATCAGCGCCCGCTTGCGCTGATTGTTCCCGCCAACATGGGTCGTCCCGCCGTACACCCAAACATCTCCGTCCTTGATGAAGACGCAGTGATGATAACGGGCGATGTTCAGGTTCGCGATGGATTCCGGTTGGGGAAAGTCCAGTCTGCCTTCACTCAATGCGACACGAAAGCATGCAGTCGTCGCCCTGCTAGTCTCCTTTCTGGAGAAGGAAAACCCTTCGGCATCTACGCAACCGCCCGTGTAGTACAGATACCCGTCCAGGACAATTGTTCCGCAGCGATGATGGAACTTTTTTTCATCTTCCATCCAGCAGGTATGCTGCGTCCATTTGTTGCTGCGAACATCGTACAACTCCACCTTGCATTCCGGATTGTTCTCGTGCTTCGCGTTAACGGACCCAGCCGACGAGAAGACTATCGTTTCGCGGCCAATCGGGACCGCTTCCATGGATTCTCTGCAAGTTGTCGATTATGTTATCGGTACTATTTTCGAAATATTGGGTAGACGAAGCCTAGCATCAAACGACACTTACCGGTCGTACTGTGAGTAACATCCGCCTTCGAACTACCTGACTTCGTGCATTTCCATTTTGGATGCCCGGCGCGCTTGTCCCGTCGCCAGATCAAAGCGGTGCCAGTTTACAAGGTGACGATTTTCCCCTGAGGCGCCGAACAGCTCCGTGCCGACCGCCACGACACACATGCATTCTTCGTGGAAGGGCGAATCCGCCATAATAGTGCGGGTGGCGCCACTGATGCAATCCATCGCAATCACATCGTCGTACTTCCCATCCGTCTTGACGGGGAGGATCAGCTCCCGGCCCAAGGCCACCGCGAAACCATCGACGTTAACTCTCGCCCAACACTCTGCCAGCTTGGCTTGAACGGGCGTGTCCAGCTTGGTCAGTTCGTTGCGGATGAAGTCGAAGCGGAAGAGCTGGTGCGGATGACCTTTGCGCATGTGGTAGAAGATGGCCTCTTTCTTCGCTGCACGCTTCAACAACGCTCCACAACCCATCTGGCGCTCTTCCGCAATCTGCTTCAGTGCCTCAAGTAGTTGTCCGCTCGCGGTGGCGATCAGCAGATTCACATCCAGATCATCCCATGCAACACAGCCGCTCAGAAGAGGATGTATATGCCGCATTCGTTCCGTGGCGTTATGCATGCACCACCACATTATCATCTGCAAAGCGCAAACGTCAACATTCGATACTTTATATTGACAAATACACGGTGCACCGCAACATCTATTGCAGTATCGCTGGTTTTCCAGCTCAAGTTTCTCGTTTACCTCGACTACATAAGATTAAGTGATGTAACACTTATAGAAAACCGTTTCTTTTACTACTTTGTAAATCAACTCTATCTTTACTAAAAGTCATAAACGTCTCTAAATAGGCGTACAAACCTGATACACCATTGCTTCGGATTGTGGAACGAAGTCTTCGTGCGACAGCAGATCCGTGACTTCATCCACTGAGCACTTGAGAAACTCCGTTTCGCATGGCTTCGGAAACTGGAGAAACTTGGCACCATGCAGGAAGTTTTTTAAAATCACTCCAGAGGTCAATGTCTCCAAATCCACCAGAGCGTCGCGGCGGGCCGATCGCCACAAGCGGTAGGCGTGCTTTGGCCGCTTCATCACTTCGTCCAAGATTCCGGCAGCCATTTTCTCCGCTTTCTCCATTTGCAGGTATCTGGCGGCCATCCACACTTTAACGGCTTCTTTCCGATCAATGGACAATTCGGAGACATCCCTGCCCACGCTTTCCACCAGTTTGACAAGCGCTTTCAGGCTGACGTCGGCCGGTTGCTGCAGCTCGATGATGGTGGAGTCGCTTTCCTTGAAATTTCCGGCGAACATGGTGGCGAAGTACGCTGATTCGGCCACCAGAGCAGCTTTCCCCACGGACACTTCGGAACTGTCGATGCGCAGCTGGATCCTAACGGACGTTTGATCTGGTTGATCCGACGTCTTTTGCTTCTTTGGCTTAGGACCCATTGTGGCAAAAGGCCCGCTCTGGTTTCGATAACTAACAAGCGTAACCGAAATTACTGGTAGTAAGTACCTCGAACAAAATGCCAAGTGCAAACCACCAGCTGCTTTCGTGCAAGTAAGTGAATTAACTGAATTTTGAAATGGCTTCGCGTGATGGCTGGAAGCTATGTGTGATGGCCGTGATGGCTGGAAGCACTACGTAAGCGGATCAGCTAATACAGGCTGGTCCGATTCTTAGTTGAATGTGGGAAAGGTTAAAAATGTTTGTTCTGCAGTTCGGACGGTATTGATTAAAATAATCCATTACCAGCGTGCGGACCGCTCATGCGCGGAGCAGACGTATTGTACGAAGAAGTACTGTCTTGACTCCTTGCTGAATTCCTTGGAGCTTCCAAACCTTGTTTAGTAACTGATCTAAATGTGCAGGACCTAATGTACGCACTGCTGTATAAAGAAAAAAGTTCGCACATAAAAAATCGAAATCCACGAAAATCGATGCTGATTTGGGGTTGGCCCATTTCTTAGCTGCTCCGTATTCCGTTTCGTTGCCATACCTCTACAGAATGTTTTAAAAGTTGTGATTCTTTAACGATTTTTTTGTTTACCGGCTATATTGTGTACAGGTTGGTACTAAGGAACTGGGAAACGAGAAAAAACAAACTTCGCACCCGGAAGTAACGAAAAAGCTTTCCTGGCGCCAATATTACCAGTATGTGACGTGCAGTACCAAATACCAGTAGCAGCAATGTTGTTTGTGCAAAAATAGGGCTTTTAAATGTTGGTCCATTGCAAATGCTCGTACTTCCAGGTTTGTCCTGCTGCTAAAAAAATTCAATGTGACTGGGTAGAGTCTCATCAACGAAACCAAAATCTCTGAAAGTGCAAGAGGAGGCCCATAACGTATCTGTATGTGTGCTCCTATGTACTGCCAAGTGCCAAGTTGAGCCTACTGACAACTGGTGGCCGTCCTATTTTTATCACCAATTTGCATCAACATCTTTCCCAAGATTGTTTTGTTTTGAATCCGGTTTGTATCTTTCTGCTAATACAAATTCAAACATAATTTGACGGAGTCTGACCAACGAGGGAAAAATGAGGACAGATGTGCGCCGTGCGGCTCCATTGAATTCTATACATCGATAAGCGTTAATAAACATACGTTCAACGTGAAAATATTGGTACAATACTTACGAGGTACTAAAAAATACAGCGTTGAAAGTTTGAGAAAACAGCCCAATTTATCAATTAAACTCGCGCCCCACTATTATTTTTCTGTAAAAAGTGCAATGCGTCTGTAATGTTTGTTAGGTGGCATTATACCAAGAAATCGTATCCAGTTGACGAGATCTGTACTTTAACATTGTGTCAGACGGCGCTGAGAAATCTACTGATTCGCTGGCAGTTGTGGTGTTGAACGTATAGTGTGAGCTACATCGCCTGATGCTGCTAGCTCTGCTAAACGAGATGACTAGGGTAGTATTTCCGGAGAGTTAGTAAACTAATAAGTTTGATTGATCCATGGCCCCACGACCGGCTTGCAGTTGGGGGTGATAATTACATCCTTGCTATCGGTTTCATACACTAAAACCGGCACTGAATGATATAGATACACATACTCCGCCCAATTTTTAGTTTAGCACAATAATGTAATCATGGTAGTGTAACCCAAATAAAGCTACAAGTTCTCATAAAGTGGTCCATAAGCAATTCGGGCCGAGCTTGTATAATCATGGCTGTGGCAACTCCGTTAAAACGAGGTCACCCCGTGATAAGTATCGGCACCAGTAAAGATCCGTACCAATGGTGCATGCATTTTTGCACCATTGGTGCATGCATGTGCACTTTTGGTGCATGCACCATTGTTTTTGTGTACTTACGTTAGCGCTAATAATTTATTTAATTTTGTTGTCGCCGTGTCAGATCATATTGTATTATTGTCAAGTATTGTATTAAGTATTATTGTCAACTAGTTTATTTATGGATGTGCCGAGTAATGCACTGTTGACTGATGTTGTGATTCCTCATCTCTCCGTGCGCCTTGTTGCAGTTCACTGGTATTTTCTCGTCGAACTACGTCGTCGTCTGGTGGTCGCCCATATTGGGTTTTGCACAACCGTGTATTACCCACGCCCCTAGTAAAAATAACGGGGAGCGTGATCAGGAATGCAGGTACCAGTGACAGCACATGCAGCCGCTGGCAGCAACATTTGCTGTAAACTGCATTATGTTGTTGTGTAGAGGTCGTCGATCTGAACGCTAAGTAGTAAGTACTGGCTATTATTTTAGCTATTATTTTATGCGTCACATAGTCTGAACGAAATACAATTACTGCAGTGCCAAAGTGATCTTCCCGAACAACGCCGAACAAGCCGAAACAGACGATCAAGCGCTGAAACAGTTTAAAGTATTGCAGTACTCTGAAAGTACAGCAATACTTTTAAAAATTAATTAAGCGCTGAGGCATTCTAAAGTATTTCGATATCTGAAAAGTACAGCAAAACTTCTAAAGTATTTCTCCACTTTTAAAGTATTGCAATACGTTATGCACTATCCAGTGCTTGCCAAGATTTTCGCATAACACGGTTATATTAACAGCGCTATCAGAAGCCAGGACGCAAGTTAGTCAACTTGATAAGAAGCGTAGAAATGAGTACAGTACGACCACAACTTTTGTCATACATCGCTTGCCTTCTGTTTACTTTGCGGCTGGGTGCAGCTACCCGTTTACATTTCAAACAAACAATTGGTGCCATCGTGGAGTCCTCAAAAGATAATAATAAAGAAATTAACCTATTGCCGCAACTTATCGAGTTGGAAATCAGTATAAATCGCCAGCAACGTCCAGCGTGCGTTGCGACTGCGTCAGTTCTATAAGTCGCGAATTCCGTGGCTATGTTTTTAATTTTTATATGTTACTTTTCGCCTACTACAGGTTTTTTCTGCTCATATAATGCTAACGCCAAAGACGAATAATTATCATATGCTCCTGTGTAAATACTGTAATATCGATGACACCACAACCGGTATCCATGAGTGCCCTTGTAACTATGTGTACGCATCCAGGGATTTCCTAGGAAGTGGCTCCAATGGAATGGTGTACAGGGGAAGAGCCGCAGAAGGAAGCAAATTCCATGGAAGAAACGCCGTTGCCGTTAAGATTATTCTGAAGAATATCGACGCTAACAGTTCGTTAGGCACCATGATGGGATGGAATAAATGGTGTGATAAATTAAAGACTCTCCTCCGTCTGCAGCATAATAATTTGGTTACGTACCATAAAATTACCATCGACAGAGCAGATGCCGTGATAAAAGCCACTGGGGTGATGGATTTTTGTGACCGAGGTACATGTATATTTCCATCATGGTTCTTTGCTAATTATGATGAAGATGTTGATATGAGACACATGCTTTGGGAGCATAATATTACAATCGTAAAACCCACTGAAAATCCTTTATTATTGTAGTTGTATTATTATGTACAAATCCAGTCGCTTTGTTGTATCGTTTTACGTATATCATTTTGTGGGCAAAACATCTGAAGAGCCGTAGTACGAGACATTATACCGAAGTACGAGTATTGAAGTGAAAGCAATAAATTTTGGTACCAAAAAATCTCTGTTTGTTGAGACAATTTCATGGCGAATCATTTTGAAATTCTGTAATTCGAAACGCAATTAGACTTTGTTTACTGTGGAAAACAAGGTCTAGCGGCATTTCAATGTACAATATTTGAATTCCTAATATCTTGAATTCTCATATTCGTATGCGTGTTTAGATTTAGCTGTAGTCATGGAGAAGGATTTGCTCGATTACAAGACCGCAATAAACTATGCGTGCCAAATTGCCGATGGACTAAACTATTTACACCGGGATGACATTAAGATTATGCACGGAGATTTAAAACCAGCAAACATATTGATTCAGTCCATAGGCAAGGAGAACAAAGTAATGATATGTGATTTGGATGATTTTGTTAAAATCCAGCAGGAAAGGACCAGTCACGCTGATGTCAGCAGAGTTGTGGGAACGTACAAATACATGTCTCCAGAGTTGGTTTGCTATTACACTCAACGCCCAGGAGATCCTGTTGGACGAGGTACAGATATCTGGAGTTTGGGCTGTATTATGTTGGATCTCATCGGGAGTGTTATGGGTCAACGTGAGAAATGGCTGGTCAAACTACCAGGAAGCTTAATGACTGTAACTACCATAGCGGAACTCAACCATATTAGAGCGGTAGAGAACGGATGGGTGCCTTATACATTGGATGCCATACCGTCCGATATGGCGCAGTGTATTATGCCATGCTTTGCTTACGATAAACGCATCAGAGTAACAGCCAAAGAGCTGTTGAAAAACCTGCACAGTGTAAACAATACTTTACCAAATAAGATTGCCTTTTTCGTACATCGTCTAGTGGGAGGAAAGACCGTGGTGTCGGCCTGCGTGTTTGACGCAAGAACAAATACACTGGAATCGCTCAAATTGCCGGCGGATTTAGATAAAAAAGCTTTCACGGGGCAAATCAAAGGACTGGACAACGAGGCGGTCTTCCAGGTTGTAAGTGCGGATAATGTTAGCTGGGATACGGTTTCGTGTAATTTGCAAGAACACTCCTCTACCACGCTTGTGTCTTCGCTTTCATCGCCCGGATGTCTTATCAAGGTGCAGAATAAGATATACTTCACTAATCGGCTTCAATGCGCAGGAGTTAAATCTGAATTGCTGGAAATGGATCTTGGAAGTGGTGTGCCCTCCACGAAGCGCATTGCATTGCCTCCAAGATTTTCAGAGTAAGTGCGCGTAAATCGTGCATGTAACGCAGCTCAGCTAGAGCAGTCCATTAATTTAAAAGTGCTTGAAGCGCTTACGCGGACTTTAAATAATTCTGCTGCGGTAACATAAACCGTTAAAGCATAAACCGACAATTTCCGCAGAAAACCAAAGAGAAAGGTCAGCTTCATAAAAAAAGCTTTGCAACTAATAGTGCCTTTGTCATAAATTCTGTTGTTTTCATAGTTTACGCTTCTTACATGGGGCAGAGCGCCTCGGCCACCGATACATAATCTTCTTCGGTGAAATCAACGAGGTGGTTAAAACCAATTCCATTTTTGCACTGTGCTACGACACAATCACCGGATCCTGGCAACCTTTGCCGAGTCTTGCGGATGGCCGCCGGGATTATGCCGTAGCCGTTGTGGGGACCGATATCTACGTTCTCGGTGGCATGACTTTCAAGGACACCCCCGAGGGACATATAACAACAGTCGAGAAATCGTGTTTGCTTCTGCGTCTTGCCGATGTAGAAATGGAAAATTTACACTGGGAGACACTAAAGGCGGAGCTGCTATCCCCGCGCGTGGATCACTGTGCGTTTGCTATCGGTACCAAACTGTACGTCTATGGTGGACGTTACGCGGACGGCTCACCGGCACTGATCATGGAGACGTATGACATTCATAATACGACAGCCGGTGCGGGTTGGACTACCGTACATCTTAAAGAGCTGCCTCAGGAAGATGGCTTACAAGAAAAGAATGGCCGTGTTGTGCGTACAGTGTGTGTACCGTTCTATGCTGAATCATCAGGAAATGTCTCGGTGTTAGCCGCATGAGCAAGTACTGCTCCATAATTTTACCATTTCCACTCACACCGTTCCACAGTACGGACATGATTATAGGACAGCTTATGTATACCGCTCCAAGTATACGGGATAACAGGATTAAAAGTGTGCAGTAGTGAACTTTTTTATTCTTGATCGTTCTTCTCAGCGCTATAGACCGGATTACATCCATTCACCGCAACATTAAACGAAGAACATGATACTGTACGGGTATTAAGTAAAACACAAGTTAACGTAAGTAACCGTTTCGCACATTCCGAAAACGTCGATACCGCTAACTAGCTTTTATAACGCTAGCGGTAAGGTGGAATGTATTTTTAGCTTTAATGCTTAGAGCCGCTGAAAATTAGCGTATCGTAGCGCAATGCTTAAGACAGTTTACTGACATGGTAGTACTGTATCTGACTATCTGTATTCTGTACATGTTACCTAGTTGTGCGCATTGAAAAAGATTATTTTTGGACTACCGGAATATGCATGGCGGAGAAATGATGCGCGTAGTTATATACAGATTACAGACAGAGTACTAGAAGGAAATACGCTTGCTACTCAAACGACATTCACAAACATACGGCAGTTTTATTACTAGTATCGTTTTTATCGTGAAATTTACGACGGTTTGATAAGCTTACAGTGAGATTGTAGACACAGCCGTTACGGCGGCACACACTTCCCTTCACATATGTCGCACATACATTTAAATGTACAGCTCTATATTAGCAGTACTTGGATTCTTGGTAGCGTTTGCTCTGTATAGCAAATCGCTGTTAAGTTTTTCGAGAGTTATTTAGAATGTGCCGAGCATGTTTCGTCCAAAATGTAATCGCCGATTTACAGCATGCGTTGGATTATTCACGTTCGGTATTCTCATCATCGTCGCTGTTGTTGTGAAATACAACAGTATTCACGATAATCCTACCGACCAGGGCAAACCTCCGACATCCTCCCCGAAATTAATATTATTCTGGAACATATTCTTCAATCACGATCACCCCGACCTGCACGTCAGTTTCGCAGGATGCGCCGTGCAGACCTGCACGACAACCAACAACCGTTCGCGGTTAAGCGAAAGCAGCGCCGTCGTCATCCATGCCGGAAACGTCAAAATCCAGGATCTACCACCGACGCGGCACCCTGCCCAATACTTTGTCTTCTTCCACATGGAAAACCCCTTCCGCACCACGCCTAACTTCCGGTTGCCGTTGTGGCGCAACTACTTCAATCTGACGTGGACGTACCGGCGGGATTCGGATGTGCGCTCGGTGTTTTATGTCAATTTGTATCGGCGACGCACCTGGTGGACGGATGCGCCGGGAAAGCGGGCTATGCTGGAGGGAAGGAAGAACGCTGCGGTGGCATTAGTGTCGCACTGCGCAGCGGAGAGCCATCGGGATGCGTATACTCGCACGTTGGGACGGTACTTTCCGGTGGATAAGCTGGGGAAGTGTGGGTCGAAGGACGGAGAGTGGACCCAGGATGAATCGGTCATTGGCCAGTATAAATTTTATCTGGCCTTCGAGAACGGGTGAGGTTTTAAGAGAAACCACTATTAACCTCATGTCTTTGCCCTTGCTAAGTGAGCTGTTGACTTATAATCAGACACTGACTGAATCCAAAGATTAGAATAAAGATGATCTGTTGCACAGTACAATAACTCTGGAAAAAGGGTGTTTTAAACAATATTTTCTCAAAAAAAAAGCATGTGAACTGTTGAATTTTATATGAATAGTTTATCTGGCTAGTAAGTAAAATGATGATTATGCTCTTCGGTTTAAAAATACCACCGTGCGCACGCCTTCGGGGGCATGCATTCACTTAGCATGCATTTAAAATCGGAATTGCACAAACAGTTTGACATAAAAAAGTTTTTAAACTTTTGTTTGATTTTTTTAAACTTTGCAATGCACATCCAAAAAGCGGAAAAATGTCAACAGCCGAGAACTGCTACAGTATAATTATAACAGTTGCGCATATATGTTACTTAATCGGATAGAATTTTAACTAAGTCATTTAGTCCACTAAATGTTTAGAATAAAAATCCGTTTACCGTTCTTAATTATTTGAACAAAAACTATTTAAAAACTGTATATGCAATGCAAGTACCAAAGAGTTTGCTAGTATTACTAATATTGGCTTATGCCAAGTCAATTTTCTCTCGAAATTAAGGCCAAGGCATGGGTGTTTTAGCATGCACTATACTACGAAATTAACAAATTTTAACCACGGCATCAGTTGAATCTTTTGATCCGAAGAGCAATATCACCAGGTACGGGCAATAAAATTATAGAATAAACTACTGATATCAATTTCAACATTTGTTCACAAACTTACTAGGTACGGGCAATAAAATTATAAAATAAACTACTGATATCAATTTCAACATTTGTTCACAAACTTCTTTTCAAAAAAGTTAAAAACAGTATCAACGGAGGGTAAACTTTGGTAAAAATACAATCTAAATGTACAAATGTTACACAATATTCAAAGCGTGTATCAAATTCGCATCGATTTGCTGTTGTTTCCCAAATTTAAAATTTAATATGATTGTAGTTTAATTCTCATAACGCTGCAGATACTGCAAGGATTATATAACCGAGAAGCCCCTGCGCGGACTGTATTATGAAACTGTCCCTGTTGTGATGGGAGCGGCCAACTATAGCGCTATTTTCCCGCCGAAGTCTTTCATCAACACTGCCGATTTTGGATCGGCGCGCGAGTTAGGCGAAAACTTGACGTATCTCTCCCGGAACCTGACCGCGTACGAAGAGTATTTTGCCTGGAAGTACGATGCACAGTACCTGGATTTGCCGGAGGATTATCAGCCTAAACACAATGACGCTTGCCAGCTGTGCACGTTACTGCATCGACCGGATGCGCCGGTGAAGTCCTATGATGGCATTTACGAGTGGTGGATGGAAAGGTCACAGTGTGTCATACCGTTTACTGCGTACCAAGAATGGATGCCGCTGCCAGGTTTTGTGATTTTTTATGGGTATGCTGGGATTTTTTTTGTGTTTGTTATTGGGTATTTGAGATTTCGTTTCCGAAGATGAACTATGTGTCTTTTGTTGCAAAGATAAAATTAAAATACTGAAAAATTGCAGAACGTTGTAGCGCACCACGACACTGCGGATTTTTTCCGCAAAAGAAAATTTAAATAGCGAAATGTGTACATATACGACTACAAGATTTACTGAATGAAAATCGTACAATGATGACTACTGATATTATAAACTTACAACCGCACAACGTTTCCATTGTTTAATTATTAAACATAAGATTTAGTTACCAGATTCTGTACTAGGAATTTTTTATTTCGCAGTGTTTACCTGGCTCTCATTTTTGAAACCTTTTTCCTCTGTTTTTTACTAGTTTTTGGTTAGATTTAACAAAAAATAGCTTTGCGATATGTTCGACTTGCATCCGGATATAATTCTATGTACAGCTTGGTTAAAGCATTAAGTTTCCTAAATGAAATTCTTCTTCTTCTGAAGAAATCTCTTCCGAGCAAATCTGTTTGAGATACTCTTCAGCGTCGGGCGAAAGTCGGAATTGAGTCTGTCCCACACCCATTAGCATGCGGAACATCGCAGCAATTCGGTCCTCCATTTCCTGGATGACCTTGGCATCCTCCTCGTTCTGCTCCTTGGACTTCGGCGGTGGCACTTTAACCTCGCCAGGCATGTTGCCGATGAAAGTGTAGTTGTAATCATACGTTGATTTATTCCGTAACTCCTCCCTCACGGTTTCTGGCTTTATGATGAACAGCCCGTTCACTGTATGCTCATCCAGATGCACTTTCTACGGAAACAGTGTTCAATTATCTGCATACCGTAGTAAATTTTACCGTATTAAAATAATGAAATACCGTATTAAACTTATCATCTGGTCAGCCCTTGCAATTTAGAAGCCCACTCCCGCATAAAAACCCATTAACTGACAATGCCACTGTATTATAGACTTATAACATATCAAGGAAAAGATCTTCATTACAACGGATAACTCCGTACCATCTGGTCAGAAAAAACCAAAAAATTAATCGAAAAACTGCGAACGCCAATCGATTCAGCATGTCTGGAAAGTGTGTCACATGCATTGTGTTTTGGTAATCATCCGCTCCGCATCCCTTGTAAAATTACCAACACTAAAGACCCCAGCCAACGGTACTATTCGCAGACACTACCAATGACCCTACGCTCTAGGTAAGTGGCAAAATTCATTGCTATCCCATGCAGACATACATAATAACCAAATATATGGGCTGAGTAAAATACGCAAATTAAAGGTCAGTAAACCGGGAAAGTGAAATTTTTTAGAAACCGTCGGTTTACGTTACTAACAACGTAGAGGTTCAGAAAGTTCACGGTTTGCGAACAAGCTACTATAGACAATTATTTACCGAATAATATAGGGAAAAAACAATAATCTTAAAAAGCAATAAAGGTCATCGGAGTTACTTCAAAGAAACCTTATATAAAATCTCTGTTTTGTACCTGCTTTCCGGTTACGCGATCGCATTCCACTCGTTTGCTATCCTGCTCTGCCAGTCGTGTAGCCCTGCAACCGTAGCCCCCGGTAGATTAACTTGATATCGGGTATCTTTGCACCGACAGTTAGGCAGCCAATAAAACGTTTACTCTTGTGGATCAAGAAGCCGGCTCCGGATCTCTTGCAGGCGGCGGGCACATTTGCCGGCATTCCCGCTGCAGTCGACTACCACATAATTCATATCATTTTTCAGCTCCCGACCACCACCCTGAAAGCCATCGGCTATTATATTATTCGTTTTATTCTCGTCATAATTTAAGAGCAAGGCAGACTTTTCAAGAATAAATTCGAAACTGATTTTTGTCAATATGCGGTGAAACGGGGCAGCGTTGTACGAGTATGAAGTTAACAAAGTCTACAGAAATCCAAGGCGACAGATTAAATCATCGAACATTAAAAGTTTTTTTCCTTTTGATACGATAATTATAAACTGAAAAGCTTACTTGTGTCAGTACATATGCACTGTGCGAAAAATAGGTCCAGACTCTAGTTAATGCAGTATCGCGATACATAGGAGAAATATAAATTTGCGACTACCGCATGTACGTCATGTTATGAAAGATGTAGCTATTAAACGAGTTACACATAAATTTTGCGCATTCTTATACTCCTTAATAATTGTAAGTATGGTAATAATAATTTCTGTAACTCATGCATAGCCTTTCCCTGTACATTTGCAGCAAAACAGCAGAAAAGATACAAAAATCGTAACGGGAAAGAATGGAGCAACACTATAAACACGTTTACCTTGATGGTGGAATTTCTGATAAAGTACTGCATTACACCCGCCAACACCCCAAACACCTCTTCGGGGGTGGCCTTCATCGCTGAGGCATATTGGGTAATCTTGTCCGCGGTTTCCTTGGGTAAAAATTCGTTTATATCCATACTGTTTTGAGCCAAAGAGTGGACACAACGCCTGCAGGCAGTCGACACAAACGAATTATCGAACGCAAATAACAGTAACAACAGTATGGTAAAAATTTTACAAACAGTTATGGCTTTTCCGAATAACAACGATTACCTAAGTGGTTTCTATTGCAGTAGTTCTTACTACCAAGCACTTACCCAAACTACTTAATCTGCTACAGTAGTGCGAACTTTTCATTTGTTCTTTGATTAAGTTCATTTACATAATTTACTAATTAACTATTTTTAGTGCATAATTTAGAGTTGTCACGTTCATGTGTATAAATATAATATTCGTAAATATTGGTAACACTGAGAGCCTGAACCGAGAAAACGCTGTACACTTTTTAAAGGGACGTACAGACGCTCTCCCACTGTCCCACACTGAAAGTACATATTCACGGGTTTTTGAAATGAGATTGTATTACTAATTATGCCACCGTGTATTCGATTTGCGTACTGTACGAGTAAAGTTCAGTAAACCAAGTTCCCGCAGTGTCTCCAGGGACATGGAAGATTCGAGGAATACGTTTTCAGATAATTTTTATAATGGCTCGCTTTGTATACTATAATAAAGGAACAGGAAATGGTAGAGTGCCCCAACCGCATTGTGTCTTACCTTAAGAATTCGTAGAGAGCCCTGAATTCGTAGAGAGCTCTGCCTATCTTAAAACGGAAAATCTAAGAACCCTTTAGCTGATATTTTGCGAAGAACCTAAATGCATTCAAGGGAAATTGTGAGCATAAGAGTTAGAATGAAGCTCGGTAATAGTTGCCAAAAGTATTCAAAATGGATGGACAAATGAGAGGTGCATGGGTCCTAAAACTATCCAAGATAAACTGTGTATCCTGAAAGGATCAGCACACACTGTGTTTCTGGTTTTTGCAGAATATGTGGCAGATATTATAATAATTTTAAAGAAGTCGCTATTATAACAGCACTTCAAACCCTAATAACATTTCCACAGTACCGCACAACGTTGCTAAGGATATGCAAAGTACGGTACTGGAGTAAAATGCAACGCAACGTAACGACTCAAACTGCAACGAGTACAGAATGCTGCGCCCAGAATGCAACCAACGTTTTACAGCGTACGTGTATTACTGTAATAGATTTAGTATTCAGATTAACCGCGTTTAGTTTTCTCGTCACCTTTGTCACTGATTTCAGCTACAATAACGCTTAACACGGCACTGACGAACGGCATCCCGCGCAACGCTTGCTTTTTTCCCAATGGAAAGTCTTTTTCGCGTCACTCCCAACTTCCGAGTGCCGTTATGGCAAAACTACTCCACTTTGACGTTGGCTTACCGGCGAGATTTAAATGCGCGCTCGGTGCTCTGTGTGAATTTTGTATCGTGGACGCAATTGATTGACTAATGTGTCAGGAAAGTAGGATATGTTTGTTGAAGGGAAGGAAGAAATGCCGCGGACGATAAAAAACATAGTAATTATTCAAATAATATTAAGTACTTTCTTGTTAGTAAAATATAATTGTTAAAACGATTATCGTATAACGTACAATATTACTGCAGAATGAATTAAGCATGAAAGAACACGAAATTAAGCGAGACATTTCCGATCTGAATTAAACATACATTTATTATTACTTGCCTATAAAGTGTATGTTGCGGTTACTACTACAATGACACAGTAGTCAATAGAGACACTCCTGCGCGGGATGTTTTCTAAAACTGCTGCTGTTATATTGGACGCGGACAACTACAGCACTGTTAGCTTCCCGCCAAAATCTTTCATTAACACCGCCAATTTTGGGTTGGCCCGTGAGCTAGAGGAGCACCCAGAACGTGTCTCTCGTAGCTTTCCAAAAGCTGAGCAAGTATGCTACATATTTTGCTTGGATCGAGGTATGATCAAAGTACGTTTTGGTCAATCATCCATGCTTGTTCGAAGGTTAACCCTAGCAGACAACGATCACAACTGACAAAAATAAAACACAATTTATTGATAAATGTAATCTGTACCAGTTTTACCGGTTTATTTACTGTAAACCGGATACCATAAATATTCGCTGCAAGATGCAACGGTAACCACGAGCAATAGAACTGAAATTAAGCCAATACCCCGTTCAAGGCAGGTCGAAACGGCAGAATCTTGCAAATCAGAGAAAATGGCGAATATGGAAGGAGGAAGAGGCATGACTAACTACTCTGTACATTATACCGAATTATCCATTAATTCTATCGAAATGCACACGAGCAACGTATAAAAATAACAAGAACAGATTGTATGGAGAATATGTATGTTTAGAAATCGTTCAAAATGTGGTGGACAACGAGTATTAAGTAATACCACAAAGCCTCCCCACAGCACGAGCACAGTATACGTTTGTGTACGTAGCGATGTCCTTGTGCAGCACTGTTTAACGTACGGTGAATGCTTCACTATGTACAGCATCTGCAAAGCGCGACACTGTTTAATCACAGTACATTTCTACTGCGGTTGGGAGAACCGGATGTATGGTAAAAAAACAAGTGACTGCAGCCGTTTGCTATCCGCTGAGTCGACGTTATCCATGCAGCCGTCTTCCGGGCCAAGTTTATCGATCGATGCAAAGTTTGATTGTGTGGTTGATGCGCTCGTACGCAGAGCACAGCCACACATGATTATAACAGCTCATAAGCGTTCGATCTCAATGATGCATGATCCCAGACTGCGGTTTGCGTTAGCGCCTGAAACAGCAACGCGACCGTTGTATAATCGCTACAACTCACCACCATGTTCGAGGCAATTGTCACCACGCAACTGCTTTGGGTCTGTTTGCCCGTAAAATGTTTTTTTAAATCCTAGCAAATTGTTTGAGTTAATACCGTTAATTATCAGCAAACCGTTTTGAAATTAACCAGAAATGCGGCGAGCATGGTGCGGGCAAAATGCAATCGACGGTTTACCGCATTCGCCGGATTGTTCGCACTGGGCGTTCTTGTTATTACCACCATACTTTTCCATCACAACAGCATTGATAATGTATCGAACGAACGCGTTGTAGCACCGCCACCGGATTCTCATAAACTGATATTATTCTGGAATAAATACTTCAACTACGATCATCCAGATCTGCGCGCCAATTTCGCGGGATGCGCTGTGCAAACGTGCACGACAACCAACGACCGTTCGCGGTTAAGTGCCAGCAGCGCCGTCGTTATCCATGCCGGCAACGTCGAAATCCAGGATCTTCCGCCGACGCGACATCCCGCGCAGTACTTTGTCTTCTTTCACATGGAAAACCCCTTCCGCACCACCCCCAATTTCCGGTTGCCGTTGTGGCGCAACTACTTCAATCTGACGTGGACGTACCGGCGGGATTCGGATGTGCGCTCGGTCATCTATGTGAATTACTACGGCGGACGTAGTTTGTGGGAGGATGCCACCGCGGAGCGGGGGAAGTTGGAGGAGAGGAAGAATGCTGCGGCATCATTGGTATCGCACTGCGCAGCGGAGAGCCACCGCGATGACTATATTCGCAAGCTGGAGCGGTATTTTCCGGTGGATTCGCTGGGGAAGTGTGGTTCTAAGAACGGAGAGTGGACCCAGGATGAATCGATCATTCGGCACTATAAATTCTATTTAGCCTTCGAGAACGGGTTAGTCTTCTGCTTAAGTGCAAAATCGACAGTGTATGTATTTACGTGCACCAATGCAACACTTTCAAGTCATGAAATGATAACAACCAGATGTTTTTGCATTGTCTTGGGTGTGTTCTGTATTAATGACAAAGACCGTAAAAAATTGTTCGGATAATTCAGAAACGACGCTTTTTAAATAGATTTTTGTGCTTGTAAATTTTAGGCCTGCTGATGCTTCCGTGCAGTTTTATTGCTACCTGGTGCTAAACTATTTAATTGCAGGTTCTGCAAAGACTACGTAACAGAAAAACCCTTGCGGGCATTGTTTTATGATACCGTTCCGGTTGTGATGGGCGCAGCTAATTACAGCGCTATTTTCCCACCAAAGTCTTTCATCAATACTGCCGATTTTGGATCGGCCCGTGAGCTGGGCGAATACCTGAAGTATGTCTCCCAAAATGTGAGCGCGTACGAAGAGTATTTTGCCTGGAAGTACAATCCCAAATATCTGCACTTGCCGAAAGATTATCAGTCTAACCACAACGATGCTTGCCAACTGTGCACGCACCTGCATCGAGCGGATGCGCCGGTGAAGTCATATGGCGACATTTATGAGTGGTGGATGGAAAGGTCACAATGTGTTATACCATTTATGGCGTACCGTGAATGGATGCCGCTGCCGACGTTTGTTATTTTTTATGGGTTTGCTGGGGTTGCTCTTATATTTTTTGCTGCGTACTTAAAGCGTCGTTTTCGACGATGAACCTTGTATATATTTTCTAAATCGGAACTATCAGAATAATGACAAAAAAATGCGTAGATTGTTACCGATTTCTGCCAACTGAAACAAAAGCCGGTGAGACGTGCTACTGTGTAAATACGCTAAGTGCAGAATCAAAGCTCGTAAGACCATCTTTGTTATACGTAATTTTAGTTTGCGGCTGAATAGCGTATCGCCAGATTAAATTAAAACATATTCATCTTAATTGTTAATTTTCCGGTGTCTACCTAGCTTTCCGTACATGGATTCCGTGTTTTAATTTAGTGTTTTATTTTTTTCTGTACATATTAATTTTGTTTAAAGATTTTTTACGCTGGATAACTGGTTGCTGTCATACAGCTTCATAAAAAAAACCCAACGTTTGCAATTTAGTTATTATTTCATCTTCGAGCAAGTTTCTTTGATAAACTTGGCAGCGTCCGGGGACAACTGGAACTGCGTCTGTCCCACACTCATTAACGCGCGGAACATGCCAGCAAACACAGCTTCCATGTCCTGGATGACTTTGGCATCCTCCTCCTGCTGTTTAGCGGATTTGGGTGGCGGCGCTTTAAACGTGCCAGGCGTATTGCCGATGAACGTATAGTTAAGTAGTCCAGCGGCGGTTTATTCTGCAGTGCGTCATGCACGTCTTCCGGCCTTAAGACGAATAGTCCGTTCGTCGTATGCTCCTCCAAATTGACTACCGAGAAAGTGTTCATACATATACAGTAATATTCACAACAAACATAAAACAATAAGTATGAAACAGAACAGAGTTTCGTATCCTTCGTAAATCAAAAATCTAGTAGCTCGGAGTGGACATTTTGTTGTAAAGTTGTTCGTTCGAAAATTGCTTATTTACGTTCGCACTGGCCTGGTACGCTGTACAAAACTGATGGGGCACGCACGAAAATTTTCGCTTTTGCTCACTAAAGACCTTTTGCTCACTAAAGACGTTTCTGTGCTGCTTTATGACATTATGTGGCCAAATGAAGACCCATAGGCATAGGCCGTATATGCGCGCAGCATTTTGTGTAAAATAAAATGGCTGAAATAATATTCCAAAAGCTTGGTCAAAGCCTCATTATCGACCGATCTTCTTAAAATTTTGTACGAGTACATACATTATTAATTATATATAAAACATCAAGATTACTTTTAAATCCTACCATTTTTTTCAAATTTTTCTGTTTCTACCATTTAATTCACATTAATTAAATAAGACTTTACATTTTTTCAGTGTTTTTAATTTTTAAAACGTGGTGCATGTCGTCTGTTCCGGTGCAACATACAAGTGTCGTGCAAAATTTGAAAGAGAGTGGTGGACCACAAAGGGATTTTTGGTACATTTAAATGTTTTGGAAGTTTCGGACAGCCATAATTCCCCAACCGGATGTTGCGCGTAAAACGGTTTTCCTGCCCAGTTTTCACCCATCACTTGGCTACACACTGCCATGATTTCAAAAAAAGATGTTTCTAACTGCGTGAAAGCAACAAACTGTCGTGCATGCAGGTGGCACATGCACACAAAGCGGCTTAAAGTGGCCCAGTTATCAAATAACTGGGCCGCTTTGGTGCCACTGCTGGCGGTAAGGCCGTATGGGCAACGAAATTACCGATTAACGCAGAACAAAAAAATTAATAAGAGTTCCGAAAAAAATGACCAAGGTCGTACGCGTTTTTTTTAGAAAATTTCTAGTAAAAGCGTTGCGATTTTGTACCTGCTTCCCGGTTACAGGATCGCACTCCACCCTTTTGCTATCCTCTTCTACTAATCGCTTAGCCCTGCAACCACAGACGTTTAAATTAATTTAACGTCGGGTCTACAGTATTGCAAGTGGTAACGTAGGCGGTCGGCCAAATGTCCGTTCTGTTCATACTCTTGTGGATCAAGCAGCTCATTGCGGATTTCCTGCAGTCGACGGGCACACTTGCCGGCATTCCCACTGGTGTCGACAACAACGACGTTCAGATCGCTTTTCACTACCCGATCGCCATTCTGAAAGCCATTAAAGCGCCATTTTACTTATTTACATTGGTATCTTTCGTAAGTCATGAGCAATTCCCGAGTTTTCACGAAAAATTAAGTTCAAGGTACTATATTTTTATTCGCGTTATTAGCAACAAATTATTCGCACTTTCTACATAAATCGTGAGAAATTAAAACACAAGCGAGTTACACAACATCTCGACGAGTTACAATAAATTAAGTAGTTATCCGGTTTAGCCGATATGCACTAAAATGCGGCGCTTTTAATGAAGCGAATTTACAACAACACCAAAAGGCAAAAGCGGCAGATCAAAAGTAGATTTGTATTTGTATCAAAAGTAGATAAATGGCTGATTTAAACCTTCTACACTCGAACACTGTTGAAAAGTACGTTCTGTCCTTCCACTGTATTTATAAGCAAAACAACTGTTAGAAAACCAGGTAGTCTTTATATATAATTGCGGTACTTGTACATAGGAAAATTGCGGTTGTTGTTTTTCTATTTAATCTAAATTCAAAACTCGCAATACCCCAAAATTTTTAACGAATAAACTACAATGTTAGTATAAATAACTTAGAAGTACCAAAGAAACGAACGGAACATCATCATAAACACGTTCTTTTACCTTGACTGTGGATTGGCTGACAAGGGGCTGCATCGCTCCCAGAAATGCTCCCAATACCTCCTCGGGGGTAGCCCCTATCGCTGTGGCATATTTATTCATCATGTCCCTGGTTCTCTCGCTGAATAGTTTAGTAATATCCATCTTGTTCCGAGATGAAAAGAATGGACGATATGTCTACAGAGCGTCAACACAAGCGAATACTTGTACAGCTGTACATATAAATCTAAATGTCCGCATACAATAATTATTGCACAAAGCAATTAAACGGTACAATATTGAGAACTTCGATTTTGAATATTTTAATTACAAAATATACTGATTAATAATATCGTGTAAGAGTAACTTACTAGCGTCTGTTACCCGCACGGCCGGCTGTGAACGTCACGGAGGCTCTAAACCTGTGGAAGCTAAACGCTCGTCAAGTAGAATTGCCCGAATCTAACTTCCGGAAATTGCAGAAAACCTGGGATTTACCGCTATGCAACGTATCTTTGTCTACCTTGCTGGATGTGTATCGCGACGATGAAATTAATAAAGCGCGCTTACTTGCCCAGTCACGGCCGGAAGCAGGCATTTGGCTGAACGCACTGTCCTCTGCCCACATTGGGAATTTACTCGACGATGACACGCTGAAGATTTCGGTCGGCCTCCGTCTTGGCGCAGTTATCTGTGAGCCACATGACTGTATGAAGTGTCACAAGCCAGTTGACAAATATGCACACCACGGCCTATCCTGCACATTCTCTGCCGGCAGGCTCCCTCGCCATGGTGGGCTCAATAACATTGTATGCCGCGCCCTCGTTTCAGCCGGCTTCCCCTCTAAACTGGAACCGCGCGGCACCTCCCACACGAGCGAACGACGTCCAGACGGCTGTACTACGTTTGCTTGGCAGGGGGGCATGTGCCTGGCGTGGGATGTCACTTGTGTCGACACGGTCGCTGCTTCCCATATCAGGTCCACATCCTCGACTGCCGGATCGGCCGCGTTACAAGCAGAAGAAAGGAAAACTAATTTGTACTCGTATCTGATTGGGCGATACATTTTCGCAGCCATTGCCTTCGAAACAATGGGCCCATGGGGACCGTCAGCTACGGCCATTATCAAGGAAATCGGGAAACGTTTATATAATCAAACCGGAGAGGCTCGATCCCATGAGTTTCTCCGGCAGCGACTGTCATTGGAGATTCAGCGGGGAAACGCGGCTTCGGTTTTAGGAACAATGGATGGAGTTGAAAAGTTTCTTGAACTCTTTCTGTTGTGATAATTAAGCTTTTTTCATTGTTTGGTTAACTTGTAAATGTTTATTGATTTGTACTCTGCCGTCGTTTATCAATAAACTGCCCAAACTTACTAGCCTATTTCAGATTGCATACGGTAGAGGCTCCGTACATAGACTCGCACGGCATCAGATAAGCAGTACGTTGGCTGGATGAAAACTGCTTCAGATCTTTGTGCTATTACACTTTGGTCACGTACGGCAACAAAAAAATTAATCGAGTCGAGTGCGCGCGAGGACGTGACCACCCTGCTAACGGTCGGCGGTCTGAGTGCTCAAAAAAGATCCATGGGCAGCATACGCTGGCCTGCCATTCACTCATGTTTCTGAGCGTTGCAAGCATCCGCGTAAGGCAGATAGTTTTTACGCGTCACCGCACGACACTAGGTTACAGCTGCTAACGTCGCGAACGGACGTAAAACAACCCGGAACCGAAGGTTCCATATGGAACCGGAGCCGAAACTTACACAAACCGTGCAATCTGAAATAGGCTACTAAGTACCTATATACTTACTTGAACCGCGGGGACGAGACGATTCCGAACATGCGAGACTGCTACGATTTGTTGTGTACAGTAAGTACTAATGTATGCTACTTCACATGCTAGAGCTGTGAGGCAGTTGGCTGTGAGCCTGTAACTAACGTTCCCAGGCAACAATGTGATGCGAGACTGCTACGATCTGTTTCCGTCTGCGGGTAACTTGCAGGTGACCGTGTCCGAACATTTCGATACAGGAAAATTTCGTCATTTTGGCACATGCATGTTTCACTATGCCGCTGTTTCGAAAAAAGATGTAATGGTTTATGATTTATGAGTTAATCATGATGGTGTCCTGCCACTTGGGCCACCTGACATTTGGGCCACCTGACATTTTGGCCACCTGACACTTGGGCCACCGGCATTACGGTCTATTGTAACTCTTTTCTTTCCCTGTATTTTTATGTTTCTCAGCTTTCTTAGGTTTTTAGCGCCATGTATTAATTGAAATTTTATTCAAACAGAAATCTGATCAGGAAGATGTTTGATAAGCAGAAGGATGCGGAGTAAATTTAACGGCAACTGCTCACATCGTCAGTGCATGAGTTCGATTTACTTTAATGTGCTGCTACAGAGTGCAATGAGCGAACCCATGCAGCCCATGTGTATCCGCTTATATGCCTACAAACACTCCATAATATTAATGCACGCTTGTTTTCGAATCTTGTGCACTGTACTTACTCGTACGTTGTTAATGCTGCAAGCGAATCTTGTGCACTGTACTTACTCGTACGTTGTTAATGCTGCAAGTTGCAGAACTTTTATTAATAAGCCAATATTTAATTTTTTACGTGCAGTAAGAATAAAGAAGCTATCATTAGTATCGGAATGTTTTATTACGTTCTCCTGTTTTTGAAAGTACTGGTGGCCCAAATGTTCGGTGGCCCAAGTGTCAGGTAGCCCAAATGTCAGGTGGCCCAAATGTCATGGCGCCGCTAGATGGTTTATGAGTTAATCTATGAGTTTATGAGTTTATGGTTTATGAGTTAATCATAAAAAAGATTTATGATTAACTATTTCTAAAACTGTGATGGTACCGCTTTTAATGAAATAAAAAAAAATAGTTTTCTGTGTCTATGTTAGGAATGAAAGTTATTAGCTCGTACGTTCGAATGTCTTTAAATAGGTTCTACAGTATATGGGGAGCCTGCACGATAAGCTGGTAACTCAGTAACTGTTTTGAACTACTGTATGCCAAAATAGTACGGAGCCACTGAAAAAGCCTGAAGACTCTGAACTGTGCACATTAGCTATCCAGAATACAACAATGTGCATTTGAGGAGCTGAAAAATAAGAACCGGTAAATTACGTATCCAGGATCCTCCATTACAGCATCAAAGCGGTGGTCAAGAATGAACTAGTAAAACCGAAGTTAACATTAGAGAGACAATGGTCAGATTTTTGGCGCAGAACGTTAGCATTTTAACATTAAAATACTTACCAGTATGCAAATAACATTGCTTATATTATGGAATGCCCTACTTGTAGACCGGCGAGTTCAGTTGCAAGTACAACGCTTCGCTACTTCCGCAGTTCCACCGAATAAGCTTGACAACGAAAAACTTCCATCCAATTAATCGGCCCCATCCATAGAGTTAAAAACGGATTCCCCATTACCACACAAAATTTTTAAGCGATCATCGTTGACGTAAAAACTTGTGAAAACGCGGTGCTTTTGTGGCGTATTGTGCTCCTGCTCAGTGCCTAAAAAGTACAAGAAAGAACCGAAGGCCATCTCGAGTCAGTCGTTGGAGTAAACATGCACCAATGCCCACAAAAAAGTAAAGTATGACTTAATTTTTCCCGCTTGCACGACAGCCAATCTTGAGGTGGTCGAAGTGGACTTACGAGAAATTCATGTGGTTACAAAAATATGATCCATCCATGGAAAGATTCCTCCTCTTCTTGCACGCCGAACTGAGATATGGGGCAGAGGGGGGAAAGGAAGCCGTTGTGTCCCTTGACAAAGTTAGCTGCTTTGTGGCCCACTTATGCGGCACAAACGCTGTTGAGTACTTAATGACCAGTAGCTGAAGCGTATGGAGTTCTGGGAACGGCATAGCGAAAGGACGTCACAACATAGGTACCGCAAATCAGTAATTTCTCAGTTTTTCACAAACGATGTTTTCGGCTCGACCCAGTATTGAAATGGTGTCCATTCATTTCGGAAACCATTCATTTCGGAAACCATGCGAGCAGCAGGATCGGCTGTTTCAGCCAACTTTTTAAAAAATTAGAATTAATAATTCTATTAATAAACAGAAAATCGAATTAAAAAAATGAATTTCCAGCGTGGGAAAAATAATTTCGATAATTCGGAAAGAAAAATCGTGATTGGCTGGTTGCGGATAAGCCCCGCCCCCAAGCACAACAATAGAATATTAAAATTCAAAATTCAAAATTACGTAATTGGCCTAGTGGCTAACGTACCCCGGCACCACTGGTACCGAGTGCAAACATTCCACTCTTGCTCTTCTTCAGTTTCCAGATCACCGTATTTCAAAACAGCATTTTCTATTTTCGACTTGTATCCTTAAAATTAACACTTGTGACCATGGTTAAATTTCATTGTAAACAGTGTGGAAAAATTATTGCACGTAGAGATGATATGCAACGCCATATCAAAGAAGTTCATAATAACAAGAACCGCGTGACCTGTGAGAACTGCCGCACCGAAATGCTTCAGCAAGCACTTCCACGCCATCAGCGCAGTAACTGCCCACCAAAAAGAAAACCGCGGGAGCCCCGCCTGAAAGCCGTTGTTCCTATGGTGAAGCGTAATCTTACGAACCCCATGGCGGCTGCACCGGCGACAGCAGTTCAACCTGCATGGAATTCTACAATACCTCCATCAACTGGATCAAGTACGCCCCCACTTCCGCAGGGAAAAGCAGTGTTAGTTTCGCGTGCTATTGATGTGAAAAATGTTAACCAGTTGAAATGTGAACGCTGTGGAAAATTTGTGGGATTTATAGAAAAGTCAGTCTCGGTTATTTCTACTGAATGCCATGATTGTCGGCTTGAAGCCGTACATTTGTTGTTCGCACTCAGTGGCGGGAATTGACTGTGAACCAATTAGAATAAAATTAAAAATGTCGTAGGTGTGTGCTTGCATTCGTTTACCCAATGCCATGAGGTAAAAGTAGAGCAACTGTTAAACAATGAAAAAAATCGTGCCCGGTGCACGACTCTTTGTTACAGCTCGGTCACAAATTAACTGGCTGAGTATTTATCCTTGAATTCTGTTTATACTGCGTTTCTGTTTACCGCTGTTCTTCGTGTTTTTCCTGTTGGATTTCTCAAAATAGTTACTGGTCTAAAGAAATTCGAAACCTAAGAAAACCTAAGAAAACCTGAAAACGTCGCACGACGGTAAAATGGAACCCTTCGTGCCGCAGGACGACTTTGAGCGCCGCGTCATAGAGCTGCTATATTTCCGACGGGACGATCTTATGCAGCTCGAATACTTTCAGTTGGATTTGCAGGAGCAGCTTGACGCTGCGCCTGCTGCGCCTGCTGCTATGCAGAATGTGGTGCAAGCGGCCGCGCCGGTCAATGCGGCCGGCTTCGGTGGTGGGGCTGCTGTGGAGGATTGGGGCCCGGAATGGCCACCCGTCGTTGTGGAGGAAGCGCCGATGAATGGGAACGCTGGCGGATGGGGAGCGGATGATAGTCAGCCGGCTCCGGCGGGTGGATGGTGGGATGCCCCAGAGGGCGAGGACGGGATGCCAGAGCAGGCGGAAGAAGAACCGGCCGCCGAAAGTGACGCCGATTCGGGCTTGGGCAGTGACGGAGAGGACGCGATGGACACAGATGAGGAAGAAAATTAATGTAAGACCACTTGTTAATTATTCCTAAATTTTTAATAGCAGTTAGGCTGGAAAAGTCATTTTATGTGATAGAAATTAAAAGAAAAATAAAAGGGAAATTTTGTCAAATTTTCAGTATAAAATTTGCAGTCTTCATGCACACGCATGTACACATCGAGTTCAATATACTGCGATAATTCTTTACCCGAGCTTTTTGTTGTTAACACGTTAATTTATTTCAGTTGTATTTCTGGTCGGGAAGTTCGGCCATGCCGGTCATTGAAGCTGGGTTCGCGCCGCTCTCGTCGGTGACCATTCGGTCGGGTGATGATACACATCTGCCGCCAGCAAGCACGTGCATTTTACAACTTTACTCTTTACAAGTCCGCATTACTCTTCCCAGATCATCATGCAAGCCAAACCGCTTTTAGCCATTAAAACCTAGAACTTTGGGTTTGTGTGATAGGAAACGCGCCTTAGTTGTCATAAGATATTGTTTTGTGCTTTCCATTTGCAAATAGTGTGGTTTTCCCTATTATCTGGGGGAAAAATGGATAAATAGTTTTCTGGCTTTAATTTCGTAGTGAATCATTAGATTCTTATGTTGTGTGCAAGCGGTTATGTTTTTTGTTAATCATGAAATCCAGTTAAATGGTTTGCGAATTTGGTTACCGCAGTTAGCGCGAGCTGATTTAAAGATGATGAATCTTATTATATTGTAGTTGGTGAAGTAACAAACTTTTTATTAGAACACAAATACTTTAGTTGTACCGTGTATGTATTTTTAATGCAGCGTACATTAGTGAATTTTTTGAGCTTTGTCCACAAAATATGATTAGGTACGTCTCTGTAGTCATATTAACGATAAGTAAGGCTGCTTTCGAAAAGAATAATTGCTACGAATTTGAGCGTGTCGCATGAGCTACCGCACGCACACGCACACCGCATGTACGTAACTGGAAAGCATTACTGTAAGTAAACGCGAAACACTTTGCGGTCGTAATGATTTTACAGGACTGCAGCAAGAATTTTGCAGATGTTTGCTGCAAACGTGCATTTGTATTACGAGTAGTTCTATTTTCCGTGCCGTTTGGACTTCTTTGTGTGCAGTGTCTGCTTCGCTGAAGCGATGGCCACTAACTTCAGCAAGCGCGTCCTCATCACTATGTCCTCCGGTTTACTGGGTCGCGCCGTTCTGGAAGCGTTCATCGCGGTGGGTTGGCAACGCACCGGGCTGGCCTTTTCCAGTGCTGATCGACATCCCCATCTGGTCAAGGCTGGTATCTCTGCGATCCCATTGCCATCGAAAAGCGGATCGATGATTTGAAGGTCTGCTCCGTGAACGTACTGCTTCTCACGAGTGTGAGCGAACTGTCTGTTCTGTTGGTGAATTAAACGTGCGACGCTGGGGTTTTGCAGCCGAACGTCATTGTCTGTGTAGCGGAGCGCAGTCTCGATGCCATGGATCAGCAGCCGGCCGAGACCTTCCAGCTCAATGTGCAGTCCACGCAGCATCTGAGCCAGTGTGCCAGTATGTCTATGCAGTTATCTGCGTTCGTTTGATGCGATTCATCACAGGTGCGTGATGTGTGTGCGTTAGAGAAAGTGGGCGCTTTTCTCCTCTACATCAGCACGACTACGTCTGTGACGGTAATGCACCCCTTACACGGAAGACGCTACCCCACATCCCATTAACAAGTACGGAGAAAGAACACTGGCCGGCGAAGGAGCTACCGTTTCAGTTTATCCAGGTAAGTTTAACGGCGATTTTCTGATTAATTCCGTTCTAACTTTTTTATTTATTGATGTTAAACTGATAGCTTTAGTATTTTTTTGCTGTTGGTCGGTCTTTTAAAAGGGCTGTTTTTTTTGTTGTTCTTGGTTCTTTTTGTGCCTGCACGGCTTTTTGTTCAATTTTGTTTGTTTTGCATATTCGTATTATTCGTTTTTTTACACCTACTGTACTGTATGTACTCGCATATATATTTTTTGTTTTCAGTATAAAAGTATCTTTCTTTCGTCTGTACTACTTTGTACAGAGATGAGCTATAATTTTCGCAGCAGAGGAACGTCGATTTGACGCTGACATTTTATGCAGATGCTGTGATTTTGCGAGTGCCTGTTTTGTACGGACCCGGTGAGAAGTTGTCGGAGAGCACGGTGACTGTGTTGTTTGAGAAGCTGTTGGAAAGGCGAACCGGGAAGCCAGCTGTCATGTCCCATTACGAGCGTCGCTATCCTACGCAGGTCGCTGATATCGCTAAAGCGTTGCTTCTCCTGGCTACGCTAAAATTACAGTAAACGCCGAAGTCGTGGGGAGCTATAATTAGTAGTACAGGGGGATAATCAAAATTGGATAGGCGTATTAAGCGTATTTATTAGAAGTAAATCGTGTACTATATAATTTTCGGAATTATCAATAACGAATGAGGTGAAAACGAGTATAAAATCGGTTGTTAGTTGTTACCGGCTTACAAATTTGTATTTCACCTTGTGAACCGGAAATACGTTTATGTTTTGAACAGGGTGAAGAGATTCGCGGTGTGTACCACTGGACCGACAAAGATTGTTTGACGAAATAGGAGATGGTGCAGCACATGTCCAAGATCTTCCGATATTTTATGGATCCGTGGTGCCCCGATGCCACGAAGCCCTTCCGCACTTAAGTGGGCTGTCCACATTATCGCTAAGCGTGTGATCGATACGCAACCGGTATAACTACTACAGGACACCCATCACAACTCCGTAGACTATTTCCGTTAATCTGTCCTTACAGACATCGGATGAGGAAGCCATCATGTTTATGTATTACATCAATCACGGCGTCTATGGCTTCTTAACCGCATGTACGATCATGCTACGATGGAAGCTAAATTTTCGTCGTTCCACGTGCCGTAAGAGGATGTTTAAGTCCAGCATTATGGGGATAGACGTGCGACGGAATCGACTGCATTGTCAAATCCTGCTGGTCGCCCGAGATGTCAATGGGATAATGGCTGATCTTTGAGGATTTGGCGCTTTCACATGTGATGCCTCATCGACATTCAACGGTGTGCCGCGCCCATCCATGATTACGTCGTTTGTCCATGAAACTGATTTCGCGCTGTTCCACAATCATCCTCAGCCGGTCCTGGAAGAGATTCAGGAGTTTACTGCGGACCTGGTAGAGTGCCGAAAAGTCTGCCGCGTACAGCCACTGACTTCCGGCAAGGGTGTTAGCATGGAAGAAAAGATTCTGGAAGATGTGGCCATTCAGTTGCGCTGCCCAATAGATGTACTATTACAAAGTGCCCGGGCTGCTGAAAGTGTGTTAATGTTGATCGGCAGTTTATGCTGGGATTATGGACAGCCGGTTTCGTATACGTTCCTCGTCTTTGTGCCTCTGTGCTTTTCTACTTTATTGCTATCAGGCAATTTTTTCTCAGCGTCCGTATGTATTTCCTTTTGCATCGACATGTCTAATGGTTATTAGAGCATGTGTTCCTAGAGCGGATGGATGTGAGCGTCTGCTCTGCAACGATTTTCCTATGATCTGTGCTAAAATATTCTTAACCAACTACTGTAGTGCACCACAACTGTAAATGCTCAATTAAAATGGAATAGGCGTAGTACGCTATTGTGGAGAGCGCCGCATTCGACAAATCAATATTATATTAATAAATTAGAAAATCCTTATTGGTTTAGTGGCTAAGCGACACAATTTGTACTCGTTTACTCGCAATATAAAGATGCTGTAGCAAAATTCAACATTCAATCTCACTAGCTTCGTTCCGCGTATTTTACTTTGCTCTTTTACATTTATTGCTGTATTGTGTTACCATGGATAATAACGCCGACCATCCCGCTCCTGCCGTTAATTTCCAAGATGCCACCGCCCAGGTGGAGGCATACCTGCAGACCCTGGCGCCGACGACGTCCACATTGTATTTTGATCATTTTAAGATGTTTGAAATCCCAGCAACGCCATTGCTTGCCCAGTTCACCAACATCCAGTGAGTTTTATTCACATTATTAATTTTAAAAAAACTCAAATAATTCGGTAAAAATTTTAAACTTAAAAAATACGTAAATAAATTAAAAGCAAATTTATAGATCCATCACTGCGGCCAAGTGTGGCCTTACATCGCTGGCCAATCTCCCCGGTAAAGCGACACTGCAGTCGCTGTACCTGGAGGGCAACGCTCTTTCCGGATCGGCCTTGGAGGCCCTCCGTGACTGTCACTCCCTCCGGCAGCTTCACCTTGCGGACAACCTGTTTGAGTCGGCGGATGACTTCCGACCGATCCGAAACTTGCCTTTAGAGCTGTTGGATGTCGGGTTTAACCCGATTACGCGTTCCTCGTCCTGTCAGGAAGCATTGGAGCTGCTGTTTCCCAGCACCCAGATCGAGGTTACCGGACACCTCGTCCAGGAGGATTCCAGCAGCGATGAGGAATCGGAATTATATGTTTCCGATACTGGTAATTATTTTAATTAATGTTATTAATTACTATCTAATCGTCTTTCGTTTCCTTTTTATTTATCAGTTATATTTTTTAACTAGAATTCGAAGAAGAATCCACCAAGATTCTGAAGAAATGGCAGCCGCCGTCAAGGCGCTGGAAGAAGGTAAACTTGATTTTTGAGCTGAATTATTTTTAATTTGCTTTTAATTCTTTTTATTCGTAGATCCGGATTGGGAAATGGATCATGTGAGCAACTCGTGCTCCGAGGATTCTGCGGATTTGGAAATGTAATTTGTTTGTTGTTTTTCCGCTACTTGTGTTATTTTTCTAGCATTGTTGAATGAAATTATTAAAATCAGTCGACGGCGGTGTCAATTAACGTTTGACGGATTATTAGGTGCTCGCACATACATTAGTTCAGTTTACTTTTACAAGTATTTGCATACAATCTTAACGTTACCACAGCAACGCTCCGTAGCTAACTTACACAATCTGTTGCTAGTCTACCCAGCCAGTTGCTAGCGTATACGATTGTTGCAACCTGCAAAATCAGTTGCTGATTTATTCACTGAATTCGATCTTTAGTGTTAACTGTAGTTCTGTTATTACAAACTTGTAATATTTGACTTGCACGATTTATTGTTTGTACTAATTCTAAAATGTCAGTACCTTTCTCCATGGATTGGGAGGCCTGGGGCCGTAATTTCCACGATAGTTTGGCGTCCTTTAACGCCGAATTTGACATCGTGGATGAGATTTTGCGGGAAGCTGGTGTAGTTCCCGCAGTACGCGAGGGATTTGTGGATCCCGACACACAGAAAGAGCAGTTCCTGCCTCATTACGAGGCGATCTCCCCGCCGCCGCCGAAGGATCCTGTTCCCGTTCTTATCCATGTGCCGGACAACAATACCGCCCTGTTTCAACCGCCATGCCAACTGGTGCCAGCGTTCGACCCAGCGCCTCCGATGAACCTATCCCCACTTTCGCTCGGTGAACAAGCATCGCTTCACGAGTTCCTCCAAGTCCGACCTGGCGGCCCGGTTTCGATGTTCGCCAACGTGGATACTGTGACTTTGGCGCAAGCCGGAGCGTTGACGGTCAAAATCACCCGTGAGAATGGCATCCCGCAGTTCGCGACCTTGCATACCTGCCGTGGGAAGGAGAGGGCCGGCTGTGCCACCACCATGGGCGAGCTGCGTGCAGTGCTGCGCTTTCTCCTCTCCGCCGAGTGCGAAGCCCTGAGCCGCAGTCCGTTGTCACCTGTCCAGAGGGGAGAGCTAGCCAGCCCGTCGTTTCGAAAAGAGTTCTCTCTCACATTGCACGCCGCCTGGATCTCTGGCAAGCACCTGCAGCTGCGGATTTCGCGCGTGGGCGACAACCATCGCAGCGTAGCCACTCCCAAGATCAGCCAGACTACCCTCCAGCGCATCCGGGGCAAGAACTGGTACGAGCTCCTCCCGCAGCTCTTCCCGGGATTCTCCCATGGGATCAAACGTAAGGTCACAAGTTCATTCAAGTTCAGTTTATTGTTCAACAAGTTCAGTTCAACGTTCATAAAGTTCAATGTTCATTAAAGTTCAGTGTTCATCAAAATTTATTTCTGTTCAGTTCGATGTTTATATTTTCACGTTCAATGTTCACTGAATCTAATTTTTTATGGTACAATGTATTTTTATATTGGCTTCAACGGCAATAACTAACTAAATTATTTCTTCATTTTTTAGCGCTGCCGCAGGAGTTTTGGAACGACTTCCGGGCTTACCTGGCTATGGAAGCCGTCCATGCTGCGCGCTCGAAGGACATCGTTGGACCGACGGAAGACCAATTGTTTTCCATGTTAACCGAACTGCATGCTACCAGTTTCTACAGCATTTTAATTGAACTGATGCCTGTGTATTCTGATTGTTCTTTTACATGCTTTGCAAGCATTGAATACGTGCGTCAGCAGTTTCAGGTGTTGAACTTTCCTGTCAACTATTGTGTAGCCTAGCCACTGCGTAGGTTAGCAACAGCAGTGCGTACGTTAGCTCCTATCAGTATTTCAGTTGATGCTCACTTGTTCTGAATAAAATTCAGTTAGCGTGTTTTTTGTTCTGAAAGTGTTGCAAATAAATTTTAAAAATGGATTACACATTATCAGATATTGATATGGCTGACTTGATAGCGGATGGTGATTGGGATGATGATGATGGTAATATGCAGTTAGATGATGATATTTTGCGTGATGCCGCGTTATTAGCAGCAGCAGATGACTGGGAGTATGAAGATCCCGTGCCCCAGTGGGGTGGTAGTGCGAGCGTAGCTGATAGTGTTGACGTTCGGTGCATCGGTCGTAAATATTCTCGAAAGTTTCGTGTTCATCTTAACACTTTTGATGTTCAAGTTTCCGAGTTAAAGGATATTCCACACAGTGATATTCCGCAAACCATTTGGTGTATTCTTGAGTACATTTTGTCTGTTGTTTTGACTGGTGTAAGCGACCATGACGCGGTGCGCCTACGTGTAGATTCTCGTCATTTTAATCGCCCTTTGTACACGTCTTTAACGCTACGGTCTGAACTCAGTGTAAAACGTTGGATGGCTGATATTCAGCGCGTTTTGAATAGTCATGAAGAATTCATCATTGATGATTCCTTCCAAATTTTTGTCCAGCATACGGAAATTCCTGTGGGTCGCTGTCTCAAGGATGTACCTGCATTGCTGATGCGGCGATTGAAGAAGATGAAGTCCGTGGTGGTTGTGGACGGCAACGATGACCTTTATGGCGCGCGCCTTGATGATTGGTAAAGCCTTAGCCGACAACGACCAGAAGCTATTCCGAAGCCTGCGACGTGGTAAGCGAAAGATTACAAAGTTAGCCAAACAGCTTATCCAGGAAGCCGGTTTACCAGAGCGGCCGTACAGTCTGAGTGATATCCCGCGTTCGAAAGAGTTCTTACGAAATATCGCATTATTGTGGCTAGTGTTGATCATGCGAACGCGATAGTCCATAAAGGTCATAAGCAAAGAAGACCATAATTCTGCTGCATCATGATGGTCATTTCGATCTTTTGAAATCGTTGCCGGCGTTTTTTAAGCAGAGTTACTGGTGTTTTGACTGTATGAAGGGTACGATAATCGCATCCACCACCGTTGTAGTGCTTATTGTTCTTTATGCCTTCGTGTTGATTGCCCGCGAGATGCAGTTAATCCGATTGTTTGTGGGGACTGTAATCGTACTTTTTCCTGGGCAAGTTTGTTTTAATTACCACAAGGTCGGTAGTGCAAAGGGTCGGCATCGACAACGTAAAGCTATCTGTGCGACCGTGAGGCTGTGTGCCCAGTGCCGATGTATTTACTCCAATGCCCGGCGAAAGCCGAACAATCCCCATCGTTGCGGTGAGACCAAATGCAAGACATGCGGTGTGTTTGACCTACCGGCTGATCATCGCTGCTACATGCGTCCCAAGCCGTTTACGTTGGACCGGAAGACGAAATGCAGCGCCTCCAAGTTTTTGTATTTTGATTTTGAAACTTATGTTTCATCGTCAGGCGACCTTGTGCCCAACTTGGCGGTATGTTTTGACGCTGCATATATTTCATAGTGTAACTACAAAATGCTGTGTTATAATAGGTTGTGCAGAATGACGAGGGGGTTGAATGGATTTTCCCGGACTCTGCTAGCGATATTGGCCAGGACGTTACCGATGACCTTTGCGCATTCCTGTTCCAGGAAGACCACCATGGTTATTACGTCATTGCCCACAATTTTAAGGTATTCTGTCCAGACAATTCATTTAGATTCACTCTGGTATAGCCGACTGCTTTTCATAGGGGTTTGACGGATACTTTATCCTCAACTGGTTGCTGCGTAATGGCATCGTCCCAAAGGTCATCATGAATGGCGGCAAGATTTTATTGTTGGACGTCCCGGCACCGTACAACATCCACTTCCGTGACAGCTACAACTACAATCCGCAAAGTTTGTCCAAATGGCCGGCGACCTTTGGACTGGAGAATACCAACAAGGAACCTTTCCCCACCGATTCAATCGGCCCGAGAACTGGAACCGCGTTGTGCCTTTTCCTTCCAAGGACGAGTACGGCTATGGCAGTATGAAGATGAAGGACCGGATGGATTTTGACGGGTGGTACGGTGGAGTTTGCGGCCAAGGGCGGAGTTTTTGATTTTCGGAAAGAGTTCGTTCAGTATTGTCAGAATGACGTCACGGTATTGCGTCAGTGTTGCCAGCAGTTTGTCCAGCTCTTCACGGACATTAGCGATGGCCTGAATCCTTTTGTCTCGGCCGCCACCATTGCCGGAGTCTGCAGCGTGTACTGGCGGACCTTCCTGTTGAAGCCGGAGCAGATCGGCCTGATTCCCAACCAGGGCTTCGGACGCAACCGCCCACAGTCCGCCAAGGCCCTTCGTTGGCTACAGTGGATGGAAGCCGAAGGTCAGTGCGAAATTCAGTCAAAGGTCACCGGCTCAGAGCACAAGATCGGCTCGTACTTTGTGGACGGATTTTGTGTCAGACGTATACGGTTTACGAATTTCACGGCTGTTGGTTCCACGGCTGTCCTCAGTGCTTTGCCGGCAATACCGTGCATCCATACCGCGGCCTAAAGATGTCGGACATTTACCGGGAAACCATGGACCGCGACCAGTATTTTAAAGATATGGGATACAAGGTAAATGTCGGTATGGGAACATGAGTATGACAGGATGCGCGTCACTGACCCCGAATTCAACGATTATGTTCGCACCGTCAACATTCAAGCCGGAATCAATCCGCGGGATGCCTTCTACGGTGGACGCACCAACGCGGTCAAGCTCCATCACAAGGTGGTCGAGGATGAACGGATCTGTTACTACGATGTCTGCAGCGAATATCCGTTCGTCAACAAGACCAAACGGTATCCCACCGGACATCCGATCATCATTACCAAGGATTTTGCGGATCCGCGCAGTTACTTTGGCCTTATGTCTTGCAAGGTGCTGCCGCCCGACGACCTGTACTTGCCCATCCTTCCGTACCGTAGCAAGGACAAGTTGACCTTTCCCCTGTGTCGGACCTGTGCGGACCAGCGCATCAACGCCTCTTGTGAGCACGAGCCGGACGAACGCGCACTGACTGGTACTTGGTGCACGCCGGAAATCGAAGCAGCGCTGGACCGTGGTTACGTCATCGCGGAAATCTATGAGGTATGGCACTTTGACCAGCACGAAGACCGTCTCTTTGAGGGATACATCAACAAATTCCTAAAGATCAAGACCGAGGCTAGTGGAAGGCCGGCGGACGTCACGACCGACCAAAAGACCCAATACATCCAGGAATACCAAGCCAAAGAAGGCATACATTTGGACCGTGAGAAAATTCAGGAAAATCCCGGTTTGCGCTCGTTGGCCAAGCTGATGCTGAATAGGTAATCTAGTTACAGGATTCTGTCTACATGAGGAATATTTATGTTTTGTTGCAGCTTTTGGGGCCGCTTGGGTATGCAGAACAACAAGTTGACCACGGAGTACGTCAGTGACCCGGCCCGTTTTTACGAACTGCTGCTGTCCGGCCAGTACCATGTCCACTCGTGGGACCTTTTTGGAGAAGAAGTCCTGCAGGTCATGTACACCAAAGAGGAAGGCTTCATTGAAGATAATCCTAGCACGAATGTGGTACTTGCTGCGTAAGTACTATTGACCTCGCACGTTTCTGGCCATGACCTTTCTTGTTTTGACCGTGACCTTTCCCTGTTTCTGACTGACCGCAGGTTTACAACTTGTTGGGCTCGGCTGCATTTACTGCAATTCATGGAACAGGTCCAGGACCGACTGTTATACTTCGATACAGGTCAGTCAAAGACGTGCCGCGTTATACATGATCCGCAACTGCACTGTTGTATTGCAGACTCTATTATCTTCCTGGACCGGCCCGACCAGCCCAAGCCGGAAACGGGCAAGTTTTTGGGTGACCTTACGGACGAACTGAAACCCGGACAGTACATTACCGAATTCGTTAGCCTGGGTCCGAAAACATACGCGTACAGGACTAACGATGATGTCTGCATCGTTAAGCTTAAAGGTTTTACTCTCAATGGAGCTACTAGTGAACTCATCAATTTTGAGCGCATGTTGTCGATGCTGGACACTTCGGAAAAAGTGAATGTTAATTATCCTGATTCTATACAGCGCCATAAGCCCAGTTTAACTTTGCGGCAGCGCGACATGTCTAAGAAGTTCCGAATGACTTATGACAAGCGCCGAATTGTTGAGAATTGGTGTACTCTACCGTTTGGATATGTACCGAAGTGAATAAAAGTAAACCTTGTCGTTTGAAGTTTTAATTCATTTTTTGCCACAGTAATTACATTAGGTAATAAAAACCACAGTGTAGACTACAGTACATTAACATTATAAAATTAGTTAACAACTATTAAAGTCAGACAACCAACAGCATTAAATCCATTTTGCGACTGCCCCATCTCCCACTGGTTGGAAGGAGAATTGCCAATGTAAGGTTTGGGTTCCAAAGTCTTGTGTTGATCTCAAGTCCGCTTTGTTTCAGACATGACTACCGGGATAAATCAGAGGAAGAGTTCACAAAACGTTAGCCGGTAATGTTGTAGATGGCGGTGGCATTGCATGCTGTATCGTTTACGCAGAGGTCCAACAGCCCAGGGCGGTGGGCGATAACTTTCATAATATTTTCAACGCAGATGAATGTTATTAAAATAACTATCAACATTAGCCATAATAAACCAATACAAAACTTTCCCAGGCGGTTGTCGATGCGTTCGACCAGGTCCAGCCTGGGAATCATGCCCTGTAAATTTGCCATTTTGCTTTCTTAGGCGTTCACTGTTCACTTAAATAATTACAAACTGAACTTGGAAATGTTGACTACTGTGTCGGTAACCTTCTGCGTACGTTAGCCACCGTGTCGGTTAGCCACTGTGTCGGTTAGCTACCGCGTCGGTTAGCCACCGTGTCGCTTAGCCACTGTACCACCGGAAACAAACGAAATAAAAGCCGTAATTTTCCTTGATTTCTTTTAATTTTTAAATAATAAACAAAAATGAGTTTCATGGAAAGTTTTGGCTGTTCTGAATACGCCACATACGAGGCGCGATTGGCAACGTATAGTAACTGGTATCATCCTTGCAGGCTTAACGCGTCGCGCTCGTTGGCAGAGGCAGGGTTCATATATTCGGCCACATGCTTTGCAACGTGTTTCCACTGCGAGCGCACTCTGTCGGACGACTGGGAGGATGGGATGGATGCTTGGAAAAAGCACGTGTACCTTAATCCATTCTGCGGATACGTGAGGGCCATGCGAGGGCGGGCGTGGGTGGACCGCGTGTACGACCTGACATGGGGAGGAGCCCAGCCTTTGGATTGGTGGACGTAGACACTTAAGTGTTTTCAACCAATAGGATGCGTGTGAAAGTGCTTTTGTACGTGCAACTGCTAGTTTAATGTGCAAACATGTACTCTGTACTTGATAGTGATCCACGTTTCAAGGCATGCTTTGGCTGTTGTGTGTGTGGTCCAACCATGTCCTGCAAAAGTGAATTTGTTTTTAATTTAATTAAAAATCGAGAGCAGATGATAGACCGACCGCCTGATCGCATTGTATATTGTTATGGTGAATACCAGAAAGGATTTGATTTACTGCTAGAGGCAGAGCCAAAAGTGGAATTTATTAAAGGCATAGAAGAAGTACTAGCCAATGATGACTTCTTTAATACTGATCAACACACACTGCTCATTATTGACGACTTGTCACACGTGATCAATAAGGATATGCGATGTACGAAGCTATTTACGCAAGGGATACATCATAAAAATGTATCCGTGATTTTAATCCTTCAAAATCTCTATAAACAGGGAAGAGCGATGAGAGACATTATGTTAAACTGTCAGTATCTAGTATTGTTTAAGAACGTGCGTGACGTAAATCAGATTAGTACGCTAGCTCGGCAGCTGGGTCTACCGCACCTGGTGGACGCTTACCGAAAGGTCACTTCGGAGGCGTACCAGCCAATCATTCTGGACTTGAGAAGTAACTGCCCCGACTATTTAAGGGTGCGGTCTCATGTGATGCCGGATCAGTATATGCGGATTTATTTAAGTAAGAACAACAGCACTCTGCCTAAGCCATGTCGGAAAGAGTGAAGGCCTTAGCGCCCTACATTATTACTTTACGGAGTCTGGGGCCGAAACAGCGGAAGGTTTTACTAGAGTATGTTAATCGGGACCAGCTGAAAGGGCTCGAGGAGATTGCAGTCAATATTATTAAAAATACCATTACCTTGCCGCCGGCTCATCTGGATACCTGTAAACGACACCGAAAGTCCCTGAGGCTCTTGGCACTACGCCGATACCCGACCAAGAAAAAGCGAAAGATCCTACAGCAAGGCGGATTTATTGGAGCACTTTTACCCGACATTGCCGGTGTGTTAGGCAGTTTAATCGGCAATGATGAATTTTTAATTGTACCTAAGCGAATAATGGACGACCGCCTGGCCAGTAAAATTCAGTTGAATAAGCAACCCCCGGAGGCGGTAGAAGTGATATCCCTGGACCATTTAGTTGCCAAGATCGTTAACCGTAATGATATAAGCGAGTACGAGAAGGCCAACCAGCTATCTTCCACGTTAGAGCGCTTTCTAGCCCTTAAGCCACGTGCGATTCCCGAAGAAAACCCCATCCAAGTTCCTAAGTACGTTGCACCGAAACCACCCGAGCCGGCTAAAGAGCCCAAACGCAAAGTACCCAGGCGTCAGTTGAGTCCGCCAACTACACCAGCAGAAGTTGACCACCAGGAGATTTTCCATACACCGCCTTCCGGTCGACGGCGTGCCCGCAAAACGAAAGGAGGGCAGAAAGGCGCAGGCAATCCACGAGCCAAGTGGATAACTTTACCGTAGCATGTCTTCTTTTTTGCCGTCAGTTCTACGCCTTTGCCGAGTCTTCCGGATTAATTGTGTCTCAACATGTTGCAATGAATCAACTCCTGAAGAAATATCTGGACGCAAAAAATCCCGGAAGCTTCAAATGCAGTATCAAATTGACTTGGCTGATTTTTCTAAATATTACAAAGAGAATGATGGTATAAAATATCTGTTGTTTTCATAGACTGCTTTTCTAAAAATTATGTGTGTGGTTCATATGAAAAGCAAAAATGCTACGAAACAAGAAATGCTTTGCAAAAGTGTTTGATGACTTGGGTGAACCGATGCGTGTACAGACTGATAAAGGGCGCGAATTTGTGAATGATATTGTTCAGTCATTTCTGAAATCCAAAAGAGTGGAATTTTTACATCCGAGAATGAAGATATAAAATGTGCCATGGTGGAGAGAGTAATACGCACTATAAAATCACGCATGGTCCGGCTATTCAGACACCGAGTGTCCACACGCTATACCGATAAGCTCAATGACCTGGTGCATTCGTACAACTGTTCTGTCCACCGCGCTCACGGCATGCGGCCTGTTGATGTCACCGAAGAAAATTCATTGGAAGTATTTAACAAGCTGTACAAAGACACCATCGCTGAAGAACCCAAGTTTAAAGTGGGCGATACGGTTCGTCTAGCTGTTAACAAGGGAAAATTAGACAAAGGATATAATTATAATTTCAAAGAAGAAATATTCACCATTGGCAAAGTCGTACGGCACAAGATTCCTGTATATCGGCTGAAAGATGAGCACGGCGTAATTATTAAAAAGCAATTTTACGGGAAAGAATTATCACGCGTGCGGAATGTGGAGAATAAAGAGCATACCATTGATTTTGTAATCAGACGACGAAAAGGTAAAGCTCTCGTGCGGTGGTTGGGATACGGGCCAGAACACGATACTTGGATCTCTGAAAAATGTTTGAAGGATCGCCATTCTACTTAACGCTGCCCAGCGATGTCAACAGTTTCACCGAAAATACTGCATCAGACTGGACGACACGCCTTAAGCATCCCATACCACTCAGAGGGCGCTGGGAAATGGCTTTGGTGGAATTTCAGTGCAATAATTCTTTATATACTCTGAGTCATGACCAGCATATTATTTTGGATACTGTATATGGCCTAGAGTACACTAGAGTCTGGGATAAAGAGAAAGAGGCTAATACGGATCGGTTAGTAGAATTCCTAGGGCGGAGTTCCTATACTGATGACATAGTTGTCCCTGCTGGTAATTATAAAAATGTGGCGGCAATACTGGAGGTGATCAATAAGAACGCGCCAGTGATGAGCATGAAGAGCCCTTATTTCCGCGTCAACGGAAGCCATCTCAAGAACTTGAGCATTTTGCCAGAAAATAAGTATCTGCAAATGCAACTCGATAGCCATAATAATCAACGGGTCAAAATTACTGTGGGAACACCGCGAACAACCGTGTATTTTCCTCCGGAATCCATGGCATTGCAGAAAATACTGGGATTTCGAAAATCACACCTAACAACGGACTTTTGGGATCTCACCCCACAAAGCGCAGATTTTTTGGCTGTTGATGGCATTGTCGAAACGTTTATAGAAAAATGCAAGGATGAAAATTATTCCGAAACCCGAGAGTTTATTGCTGAGCAAGCGGCTAATGCCCAATTGCAAAATCAGAATTTGTTTGTTTATTGTGATGTGGCTGATTATAGTTTAATTGGCGATACGGCAGCGCAGTTTTTGCGTAATGTACCTATTAGAGGCGGTACGGATCCTCTGGTCGAAGCAAGGTTCGATAAGGCCCATTATGTCCCTGTTATTGCTCAGCATTTTGAGACAGTGCACTTATGATGAATAGTACCCATTTGGGTGCTGTTGGCGTCGCCCTTTTCCCCCCTGCATTCTGACTGCAGGCTCAACGGCACCCGGGGTGGTGACCATTCATTAGCGGGGCGCGCGCTGTCCAGCGGTAATAGCTTACGCCCGGCCACCGTTCCAGTAGAACGGTGCTATATAATACTTTTTCTCTCTGGCACTCTATGGCAACAGAGCCACGGTAACAGAGAGAAGGCTGCACAGAGATACTGCAGCAGAGTGCAGACACGTGCGCATGCCTCTCTCTCCGTCTAGTCCGCGCACATGTGTTTCGTCTTGGCAGAAAGCTCGCAGAAGCACGTGGATTTGTAAAGTTAACGGCTGGAATAATACTTGCCGCACGTCTGGAGTTCCTGATTTTATTCGGGTTCTTCAGTCAAACGTACGAATACGGTGTCGTTGTAGTCGTCTTTATTACTGCCATTTTTTATTACTCGTACAACGGCAACCTGCCCAACATTCCGAGCCAACCTATTGCACAACTACGGATTAGTGTATTAGCTTGTGAACGATTATGTGATCCCTGCTATTTCCATCTTATACATCCTTTGCTAGATTTAGGACTGCGCTGTAAAACTGTAAAACCCTCAACAACAACAACAACATTCATTCACCATCTCGGACGTGTTCTCTTGCTGTTATCCGGTATGTGAATTTTGGTCTAGTCTTACACTAGTGATGTGCTACTAAATAAAACTAAATAAATGCTATTTAATTAGTAAAAGCTTCCCTAAAATTAAATGTGTAGTAAACAGTAAAGTTTTATGGCAAAATTAGTAAAAGTAAGTAAATATTCAGCTACAATAGTAAACAGTAAGTAAATAGTAAGATTTGGCTTTCGCTAAATAAAATTTATTTACTAATTCATTTACTAATCGAATTTTAGCGAATAAGCAGATGAAAAACTCGTTGCTGTACTGGGGCAGGTTCATAAATAACGGCGTTGCATACTAAAGTTGGTGCCTTAACAGACGGTGGTATTGCTGTTCACGTAAACGCAATGTACCGCCAACCCGAACCTGCGGTTACGTTACGTATAATAATAGGAACTTGAAACACTGTAATGCAGCAGCAGCCTGGCAAGCCGATTGTGCAGTTTGCAGCACAGTTGTTGTGCTAGATTTTGCCTTTACAGATCGCATAAATATTAACGTAAATACAGTACAAATACAAATTCGCATAAATACAGTGTATTTTCATGAAATGCATAAGCGTCCCAAACATTGAGTTAAAAATTAAATAAGTTTATTTAGTATAATTAGTAAGTAACTGGTTGGGAAAAACGGGAATAGTAAGTAATAGTAAGTATTTTGAAAAATTTTGGGTTTCATAGTAAGTAATAGTAAGTAAAAGTTTTGGAAGATTAGTAAATAGTAAGTAAGGTAGCAGGAAGCTGTAGTAGCACATCACTATCTTACACGCGAGGTTTTCACTGATTTACCTTATGAGCCACGGGTTTTCGTAGACAGGGCAGCTCTCCATACAGGCATTACTAGTGGCACGTCACGCCATCATTAGAGTAGCTCGCATATTAGCGCGGTTCTAGTAAAATGCTGTAGGAGGTCGGTTTTCTCCAATTTTCTGTTGATGTTGAATAGAGTTCGAACTGCAAAATGTACGCATGAATTTCCTCTGTTTTTATAAATAAAAAAAGCTGAAGATTTCTGACTGCAGTAAAAAGGCACAAATAAAGCTTTAATAAGCTTAAAATTATATTTTTACAGTGTTTTTGGAAAACTGCGATACTCTAGTGCGTTCGTCATTGCAAATCCCGCCATTAGTGGGATTGCCTGTATTGAGATCTGCCTTCGTACAGAGTATCCGTCGCAGTTCTTCCACGGCTCCCTAATTCTGCAGAGGCATCTATTGGTTTTTTCGGGTGAGGTTTTTTTATACCGTGTTTGGTTTAGTGCTACTCTCATTTTATGACAAGTACTCTAATTCTGTCTCAGCCGATCGCCACTACACAGCATAATAAATAACATAAAACGATAAGAAGAAATCCTGCTCAGTTCATCAGCGCCTGCCATGGCGCCCATCACCGACGGCGTATTTCCATGGTGTATTTCTATCGAAAAACGCTATCGTAGAAATTCATGCGAGCGTGCTTCCCGGTGTGCTGCCGTAGTTTTTTACTTCCCTTTTTATGACGACCGATTACCTAAGGTTCTCATGCATTAACCGATTGTATGGCAGAGCGGCAAGATGTTTCGTAAATATTTATTTTTATTAAAAGTGTTTCACCGGACTGAGGAAAATATTATGTTATCCCGGAATAAATTAGTCGGTCAACTAAAGAAATAATGCGGTACTGTTATGAAATGAATATTTTATCTTTGGGGCTTTGCCCCCCGAGCAGTAGCTCCGCACGGCCCTCGGTCCAGTGGAACGGCCTGTGTACTGCCATCTAAATGTACTGTATCCGTACCTGCTATTATCAGATATGCGCTTCACTTCTGAGATCTAGTGGTTTAACGATCCCGGGTTCAATAATTATATCACGTCTTTTATTGGCTTTAATATTATCTAATCATAACTGGATATATACAATAAATATATATACATATAAATAATAAATAACGTTGCAGTACAGAATAGTAATGTAAGGTATATCGTTGACCATACCTGCCACCAATCTTTAATTACGATTATCTAGATGTTGTTTGCCTTCTTCTGACAAATACTCAGTCTCAGCCGATCCTCTCTTCATACAACACCGTAAACAACATAAAATAATTAAAAAAATCCGGATCAGTTTATCAGCGCTTGCCTTGGCGCCCAGCACGATGCCGCATTTCCCTGTTGTATATCTATCGACAAATGCTATCGTATAAATTCATGCGAGCGTGCTTCCCCGTGTGCTGCCGTAGTCTTCTGTTTAGTTTCTTCATGATAGCTATTATCGAAATTTCACATGCACCAACCGTTTCGGAAGCGAGTGCATGGCAGAGCGGTAAGATCTTTTCGTAAATATTTGTTTTTATTAAAAGTTATACACCAGACTACAGAATATAATATTATAACGTTAGTCCAGTGTAAAGTATTCAGTAAACTGAAGCAAAAATACGATACAGCTAGGAAATTAATGTTATGTCTGTGGGGGTGCGCACCCTTGCGTAGTAGCTCAGCACGGCCCTCGGTCCAGTGGAACGCCTTGTGTAGTGGTACCTAAATGTGCTCTGCGCTTACATGCCATTATAAGATAGCTGCTCCAAATCTACGTTCTAGTGGTTTTAAGATATCGGGTTCAATCGTGTTACGCTTGGTATAGCTTTAACATTATCTAATTATATAAAGTGAAATTTGTGGATAAATATTAACTTGTCGCAGATGATAGGTATTCATATAAGTAATTAATAACGCTGTCGTTCAGAATAGCGACGAACAGTATATCGTTGGCAATACCTGGGACTAATCTTTGCGGACTGTGAATTACTGTAGCCGGAAAGTACCGAATTAAAAAATAATTTTCGTAGTCAGCTAAAGTGCTACAATTATTACTACGTCAAAAAATGAAACGCAGCCATAGAAAAAGTTTTTAATAAAATTATGACTTAGTGACAGCTTGTCACTATTGTACGCTGTAAATACGTATAGCGCCCAAATTTCAGGTTCAGGAATAAGGAATATAGCATGATGAGTACAACTTCTAAAAGATTTACGGTCGGTTCAGTTCTATCCAGGTCGGTTTCGTAATGGAACACAAACAATTTACCTGACCACGAAGAACGTGACAGCTCATCCAGAACTTGATGACTGATGTAAACACCAGTGGAATGCAGAATTAGAACAATTTCCTCGACACTCGTAGAAGTACCATACTTCTGTACGGCAGAGAATGAGCGTTATCTACTGTACAGAAGAATATTACTTCTGCAACTATACGAGTAACTGTAATTACTGTATTGTCGAGTCAACTTGCCACCTTTTCTTACAGTGAGTTGTATGCTAATGATCGGATACGACTCACTGTAAAAAAAGGTGGCAAGTTGACTTCAGACATCTATACTAAAATATTTTCAGACGGACTGACAGTTGGCAGTCGGTTAAACTAGAATAATTGCAGTTTATGGCATGTTTTCGTCAGGTCTATGGAAAGTCTGTAACCAAAATGTTACACGATTCTGATTCGCACATTTTAGGGGGGTGGTTTAGCACAGCAAAGCATCAAGTTACACAAAGGAAGATACTGTAAGGGACTATCTATAAACTACGTTCCCGAAAATTCGTTCTGTACGTAGTTTGTGTATGGTCCCTAACTATACGTTAATTACAAATTCATACGAGTAGTATACGAATAATAATACGTAATTTGCACAGCGAGTCCGCGACGGAATGTTTTCGCTGACTGCGAAGCAGACAAGAAAACGCCACTTCGTGTTTTTATAAGCGCCGGAAGTAATAAGCTGACTTGAGTGCACCAAAAGATGTTCAGATTTTGTAGTTCAGATTTTAGAGTGAAATATAAATGCCTCTGTTCGGTAAAGCAGTAATTAATTGGATAACTGTGATTAGCAATTTGTTATTGCATATCTGTTGTTCTAATTTAATGCCAGAGCTGCCAAATAATCGTTTATGTTTGGGTTCTTTGAATGCACTGGGCTATGCATTTTGCCGGCTGTCATTCAGAGGCGCTGCGCTTAAACTGATGTGATAATGCGGCGCTGCTGCGTAGGGAATATTACGTCTGTGGGGCCGTGCACCCCTGAGCAGTACCTCGGCGGCCCTCGGTCCACTAGAACAGCATGTGCATAGCTACCTGAACGTGCTCTATTATCAGATGTCAGCATTAGTTCTCCTTTCCATTAGTTATCGGGTTCAACATTGTCATGCCTGATTTTGGCTTTAAAGTTATATAATAATAATAATCGGTTAGAAAAAATGAAATATGGTGGTAAAAATTAATTTGTCAAAGATGATAATTATTAAAATAATTAAATAAAAACGTTGAAGTACAGAAAAATGATGGCCAGTATGTCGTTGAGCCTACCCGCTAGCTATCGTAAATTACGGCTGCGTAGTTGTTATATTAATCGTTATCATGGTAATTATTAATATTGCTGTATATTTGTATATTTACAGGTGATCGGACGTCCATCCATTGCCCAGAGATTGGACCACTGCCTGCGTGGTGAGCTGGTGCAAATTGCACTCTAGCGAACCGTTCCCCGTCTGAGGTGAGCTCGCGCAATTGCGCTGTAGCAAACCTCTTGCCTGCCGTCCCTCCATCGTGCTCCTCGTCAGTTCGTCTCCTGTCACCCGGCGAGTCTGCGCAATTGCGCTAAGGCGAGCCGCTTCCTGTCACCGTCAAGGCGAGCTTGCACAAATTGTGCTTAAGCAAGCCAGTTCTTCTGCAGCTGCTGGACTGGACGGTACTGTTTCACGCTTACCATTCCGCATACACAGGTACGTCATGGGTGTTGTTGTTAAATATTATTTGGTTATTGCGCGTACAACCGTGTAGATTCACTATAAACCAGTACATGATAGGTTTTTCTACAAACTCGTGCATATAGGTAGTTGTAGTAATTTAATACTTAATAATTGTCTGCATGCTTATGTGTTAAATTAGCTTGTAGGAATGTCGTCGCCGTCGTCGTCGTCGTCCCGTCAGCGCCGCCCCGCCATGCCGTCCTCCGCCCCGCGCCCAGCCCTGCCAGCCAACCCCACCAGCTCTTGCCGCAGCGCCGCCGCTAGCGCCATTGTTTTCCCGCGCGCCAGCTTCCTTCCTTATTTTGAGTGGGTGAAGATGGAGGGCCGTTCGAGCATCCAGGAGTGTGGCAATTTCGCTGAGGCTGTGCTGATCATATGGGGCGACAGCCAGATCCGCCGCGTTTTCCTCTGCACAGACCGCGCGTTCGGGATCAGCATCGGCATGATCTTCCCGACAGTCAACAACCTGCCTGTCGCGGTCTTTTCACATGCCGGCGCCAAAATGGAGACGGTGTTGAGGGAGATTGGAGAAGGGATTCCGTTCTCGCGCCGGCTGCCGGAGCATTTCAACGACATGGCCCACCGTCGTGAACGCGAAGGACCGGCGGCATGGCCCAAACCCATCCCCGGCCAGCGTCGCCAACGTCTCCTGCTGGTTGCCGGCACTAACGACTTGCAGCCTTTCTGGTTCGGACAGGGCACTGAGGAGGGAGTGCGGAAGGAGGTGGCTCGCGTTATCGGGTTGCTGAAGGAGCATGCAGGTTGCCTGGAGGGTTTCTATGAACAGATCCTGGTCTTCCACGTCCCACCGATCTACCCACAGTGCTCCATTTGCCGGTACGCCGTCCGGGCAATGAACGATGCCCTGCGTGCCATGTGCGTCTCGCAGACGGACTGCGGTGTTTCCGTCTGGAATTTCATTGTGCCTAAAGTTTCCGAAATGACCAAGAAACCGCTGCATCTGGCTCATGTTCCAGCAAACTTTCGCAGCATCTATACTGCCCTTTCTGAAGCGTTTAGCGCCGCCGACACTGGTAAAATTCCGATCTACTGATGTTAGCTTGAATACAGACGCTGATGTTGAATAACAGCTGTTGTTTTTGTTGCAGTGTTGAATGAGCGCCACCAGGCAGTGCTGGATGGGATCCGCGCGCGCGAAGCAGAGAAGGAGCGAGTGGAGATGCGCCACCGGGAACGGGAAGAAGAGCAGCGCGAGCGTGTCCGACTGGCAGAGGAGAATGCTCGGCGCGCGGAGGAAGCGAAGCAGGCCGAGGAGGCGCTGCTGGCGCGCCTATGGCAGGACGAGCGTGACCGCATCGGTGCCGAGGCCGAGAAGAAGGCGCTGTTGCAAGTGCAAGCGAGTGAGAGCGAGCGGAAGAAACGGCGGAAGGAGCGCAATCTGCGCCTGTGGACGTTAGCCGAACAGCAGGTGGAAGCCACACGGGTGCGGCATAATCGGGCCAACACGGGTCGCCGGAAGAAGAGCCGCAAGAATAAAGAGCGCCCCAAAGAGAAGGCGAAGAAGCGTCAGCATGCCCGCGAGACATCGGCGGAGCGTCGGAAGCGCCTGGCTGCCCACACCAAGCGGGAGACTGCGGCTAAGTCTGCAAAGCGGGTCCGAGAAGTGCAGGAGCGGTATAAGGCGCTGAAGAAGAAGGCGGACGAGGAAGAAGCCATGGCAGCTGCGGCGGTCGGAATGTAGTGTCTTAGCGGCAAGCTGTTTCTGTGTCGTGCGTAGTATTTCTGGGCTTTTATGTAATTTGTTTACTACTAGTATATTCACGTTGTTGCGGTTGTTGTTGGCTGGTTTGTGGGTTGACAAGCAGGAATGATAAATGAAGTTGAGCGGACTGAACCTGAGAAAATGCACAGAGTGTTTAGTTAAAGTAACAGAAACACGGTAAACTATAAGTCACTCAACAAAAAACTAAACTACACTTGTACGCGCAATAGTAAGGCAGGTCGATCTAGATGCTGGATGGATATTGGTTCTATCACATTTTCTTATAGACCATGCCCCGTCCTAAGCGACCTTCAACCCAGGCCGCCGGTAAACGTAAGCCCAAGCAGCCACAAGGATCACCACCCAGGCCAACGCAAGACGAACTATTCAGAAATGAAGCCCTGTCCAATCCACCAAGTGTGCTCGTTGAGCTGCGCCCGGCAAAGCGAGTTAAATTTAACTTGTCTGCTGCTGAACCAGCGGCGGTGGTTAGCAGCAACAGCAGTAGTAGCAAGAACACCTACACGGCGGCAGACGCTGCCGAGGCCTTGCAGCACATGAATGAATTCTGTGATCGGTCAGCAGCAGCCGCTGCCACCGAAGCTGCCGACAACCAGCACCCGGACGAAGCTCCAGTGTCACCGGAGCCGATCGCAGACTCGCCTCCGGTCGGGCCCGCGTCGCCGATGGAATCTGTACCGTCGCCTGCCTCGAGCGATAACGGCGGTGATCAGTCGTGCCACAATCTTCAGGTGGCGAATGAGGTTACGGTTGAAAATGTTGCTGATCATGACCGCAACGTAAGCCAAATCCTACCTATACCGCATTCTCCCGCCATCGGCTCACGCACTAGCGGCAAGAACGACAATGACGACGACGATGAGGACGACAACGGAAATGAACACGCCGGTGGTCAGGAAGAGATGGATACCGGTGGCGTAGAAGCCGAAGCCGCCGCAGCTCACCAGTCTCCTTCATCACCCACTTTACACACTGGCATCGAGGACGACGCCGGTGCTGGACATGAAGGGGGCAGCGACGATGAAGACGGCAGCAGCGAAGCGGAAGCGGACGACGCAAAATCCGAATCTGAGGACGAGTCGGCTGCGGACGAAGATGCGGACGAAGATGCTGACGGTTATGTTGACACGCCTGATGAACACATCTTCATCAAAGCACCCGTGCCGCCAATTGATCCTGACACATGGACTGATATTTTCAAACGAGCTTATGAAGTATGCATATTTTTGCCTTGAATCTTCTTTGATCTAAGAATTCTACGTCCTACAAGTGCCCTTTTAACATTGCAGTCACCGAAAGGCTGTGAGCGGTCTCCTTCTTTCGTGCCAGAGTCGGAGTGGGAGCACTATGTACATGAATTGCCGACTTTTCAATACGTCCTAGAGCGTGAAAAATACGGCGAGCAGTTAAGCAGGCTGATCAAGAAACTTTCGCGTGTCTATGAAAAGGAGGAGTGGTATGCGGGGCTGGTACGTGGTTCTCTTCCTCTTAGTCTTTTGTGGTCGTAAGAATTTGTCATGTTGATAACTTTTCTAGCTGGTTGAGAGTGAAGAAATGAAGTATACGGAAGAGGAGCTGCTTGATTCCGATCACTTCAAGAAGCTGGAAGAGTCCGGGAAAATTACATATCTCTTCCAGAAATTCAAAGGTGTCAAGGGTCAAGGAATGGTGCAGATAAAGAAAGACGGCAAAGAATATGAACTGAAGAAGGGAGAGCATTGGAGAACTATCATGAATCGGCAGAAAGAAAAGGTGGCCAAAATGCGTGCAGAGCTTTTAGCCCTGAAAGATTCTCCTCTCAAGCAGATATCGAAGGCGCGATTGCCAAGGGCATTCCATGAACTCTTCTGCCTGGTCTCGTACGCTGCCTTCCAGGACAAAACCTTCCAAGGCATTTATGCCCATCTTACACCGGAAGTTGTAGAGCATGTAAGCATTTGTAGCGGCGTGAAATTCAACTTCCTTTATAATTTATATATATTTATATAAACTAGCATTAATGGGAGCGGTTGATGTTTTAGCCACCCAAAGACCACGGTTTAATTTGCTTAATGCGTGTGATGGAGGAAGTCTTCAGTCTCGACAGTCACACCGCAATTACCGTTCCCGAATGGCTTTTCTCCACCGCCTGTTCGTTTTTTGCCCTCCACCGGGAAGATTATCTTATGGGCAGCGTCAATACAGTCCACTGGACGGATGGAGACCGCGGGAAGAAACTCTGGATCGTTGTGGCGCCAAAGGATGCGCCTGTGCTGCAGGAGGTCGTAAAGAAGCTTATGGAAGCAGGGAAATTAAAATGCGAGTGTGATTTGTATGCAATTGGCAGTTTCCATAAGCAGGCCCTTCTTCTGGTTGTCGAGGAGCTGATCATGCGGGGCGTTCACGTGTACTACGCAATGCAAGGCGCAGGACAGACTATGATACTGTCTCCGGCCACGCCGCATATGGGAGGTCAGCTAGGCGCAAATATCGCTTCAGCAGTCAACTTTGCTGATTTGGATCTGTTCACGAAGGTTGTTTTGGACAGGAAAGTCTTCAAACAGTGTCCGCACGATAAGCGGGCCGAAGCGCGTAATGAGAATCATGGATTCGACGACGTCCAAACTCCCCAGAACGTTGAAGCTGTTCGACGAGCCACAGTGGAAAAGCTCAGGGCTAATGGCAATCCGGAATTCCCTACGCTTGAGGATATGCCGCATGTAGTGACCGATGATCACTTTCTCACTCAGGAGGAGTTCGAAAGGGTTTCCACCGAAAAAGTCGTTCCGGATATATTGCGTGAGAAGTTTTTCACCACAGATACGTTTCTCCACAGTCAGATCAACTCGCTGCCTGGGATTCCAGGCGTGCGTCTCCCGGATATGATAAATGCCGTTAAACTTGCTGAAACGCTCCGCAACCGGAGAGAAGTGGGTGAGAATGAGCCAAAATGGGAGCTGGTTGGGCACATCGAAACGGATTTGCGCACAGATAGAGAGATAATGGCAGCCATTAAATCCAGACGCCTTAAGATTGACCTCCTCAAGGGCGTCCAGCGATATCATGTGGGCCGAATTCTGAGACGAGAAAAATTCCTGATGACGCTTTACAAGAACTGTTCCCGTCAGCAGATTCAGCAAATTATCACCCACGAATGGGCTAAGGAGGCGTACGAGCATCTGCCGCGGTTGGGTTTGGAAGCCCTGGAGATTATCCGCGACATTTTTCAGCGCACCGTCGACGACCACTGCTTGAAAAACCAGCTGCAGGCTTCGGATCGCCCGCCGGTATTTTATTCGATTCTAACCAAACCCCAGGAGAAAGATAAAGTGGTGTCCGAACCTTTCGCGAAGGATTTGAAGGAGAAGTTTGCCGAGATGTTCCCGTGTCTTCGCAAGGACATTCTGCCTTTGCAAGTGGAAACACGAACTGCAGATAGCGCCCAGAGAGTCTTCAGAACGCTCTGCGATATGGCGCAGTTGCCGGATGATAGTATGGTTCTCGTGCGACGCCTTTTCGCGCGCCTGGCAGATCGGAAGTTCGTTACGTCTCGGCAGGTCAGGGAAGCATCCAGCGAAAACTATCCTGGATTTTTGGCACTCTTATGCCGCCGCAGAAACTCTCCTTGTTGCTTCATCCAAAATCCTTCTCCAATTCCGACCGTGAGCTGTTTGACCGCTTCAATGCGGCAGTCGAATGCATCTTACGAGACGAAAACTTCCGAACGTTTCGTTGGGCCTGTGATTTCCCTAACGTGGTAAGCTAAGGAAGCGTACTCTTGCGCAGGTTCAGTGTCTCGCTCTCATGCAAATACCATTTTATTAGGCAAAGGAAGAGATGGGCTTGAATATCGTGCTTCCAGAGAAGGAACCTGGTCAAAAGGATGAAGGTCGCATGAGAACCAGAGGGGCGGCGGCGGCGGCTGCCACCGCCGCGGCACAATCGAAAGCTGCACCCTCGGTTGACCCCAACACCAGCGCCGAGCCCAAGACTGCGGCCACCAAGCCCCGTCGGACGTATAAAAGCCGCAGCAAAGCAGCGTCAAAAAGCTCAACCGCGGTGGAAACTGTTCTGGCATCTTCGCCCATCCCAGTCTTCGATGTGCCCGATGACGCGGTAACAGTACAGGATATGCCTTGTATTGCAAGCTTTATTGTCTATTATTATTGGTTTATAGGAGCTGCAGAGCCTCGGCATGGCCTACCCATCATCCACCTTCCTGGGTTTCACAGACAAGCGGTCTGTTGCTACACCATTGGCCGCGCAGCAGTGTGCTTCACTGCTGACCACGTCCCTCACGATCCTTGATGCTCAGAGAAGGAGCCAAATTCTCCAGATAGTATGCAGCACTGATTATTACCTATCTATGCACAAAATCTTTATCCAGTTTGTCAAGTAACAACATGTACTGGGTATTTCAGATGAGCTCGGGAAAAGCCAACGAGATTCGCATTCTCGAGCGCCACTGCCATCTTCCTGAACTGGTGTCCGTTGTTAAGTTCCATAAATTCGACTACGATCCCGATCCAGCGAAATGCATTGTGAAAGCCGATCTAGACATTTTCGGCTACTTTAACCCAAAGCAGCGCCAATATGAATGCCTTGGAAGGGCCTATGATCAACTAATTGCCAACTCTTTCGTTCTGGTGGAAAAGTTGATGTATATGCGAATCGGAGCTGACAAGCTGGAGATAACGGAGTCTCAAGCCACCATCGTAGAAAGCTTCGCCCAGAAAGCCTTTGTTTTCGACGAATCGCGATTTACTTTCGGGACGGATGGCGTGCGGGTGCGTGAAACGACTTATAGAATAGAATTTGTCGAGCCTGTACACCATTTATTTCTCTTCGTAGGTCCCCATCTTCCCTCCGAAACTGAGTGTGAAGGGAAAAGTCGAAGACGTTAGGAAATCCATTGCCCGGTTTTCTGACGTGGCTGATAGCAAACAAGAGTTCGCTCCAATGCAAACGGTATGCGCGGCAGCTGTTCATGCGGTGGTCTATCTCGTTATTTAGTAAACTGATTCTGTCTGCAGGTTATGAGCGAGTGCAATAGCTTGGCTTACCACATTTTCATTGGTCTGCGCAGTCTTACACCGCTCACCAGTGAAGCAGAAGCCGTAAGCAGCGTCAAGTGGATGGTGGGGCAGATCTTCTACGACGCGTTTCTGAAGTATTTCAATGTCGCTGACCCGGGAGCGCAGAGTGGTAGCTGTCTGTATCCCGCGGTCTCTATCGCATTGACCGGCAATACTGATTTGCATTTCCACGTTCGTTTGGGACTGTTGCATGTGTTGGCTGAGTGCCTGAAAAGAGGGGAACTCGAGAGCGGAGTTGCATTTTTGGGCATTACTTCCATTTCAATTGCCCGCCACGCTGTTGCCGATCCCCTTGGCCCCCGTCCACTCAACTTCCACTGGGGACCCCTGTACCTCTTGGCCACTATGTTGTCTCGTGCAATTTTTGTTCACGATTCAACAGCAGGGGCCACCAGCCGGAGGAATCCACTGCAGTGGAGTGAAGACCACACAGATGAAAAGGTATACGTTTCAGCTGTGTCTGTGTGTGTGTGTGTGTGTGCTGATAGTTGTAACACAGTTTGCCGTTTATTATAGTTGGCGGATATTTTGAATGAATCCGACAAAGGGCAGGTGTTTCGGTCCCTGGCTGGGGAGTGGGAACCGTTAGCGTCCGAGCCGCTGCGGTTGTTGTACACCGGGTCCAAATTCTATCCAGTCTTGCCGAAATCCTCTGGAGAGCTGCACCGATTCCAACCCCGCGACCCACACCCCCTGAAGCAGCTTCAGTCTGGAAACCAGGACAGGGATGCGGATGCACCCTCAACTAGCGCAGACGGCGAATAGATTCGCTTGCCGTTTCCATTTTAGTTTCCTCATTATAATTGTTTTCAACCGTTATTGTTTGTCGTTTAAGGAAATTCTTCAACTTATCTCTTTACTCTTTGTTTTTCCGTTTGCGCTACCGCTAAGACGCTATGATTCCATGTTTGCAGCTTTTTTGTTTTTATGAATGATCACAATAAGCACGACCATCAGTGCATTTCTTTTGTTTAAAACGAACGCTTTTCTGGGTGTCCATAAAGTATTTCAAAACAGCAGCAGCAGCAGAGTCGCTCATTCAGCGTGCGGGCCGCATTCTGTACATTCAAAGTAATCTAATTCAGATCCAGAAACAGATTGACTATTTTCCACCGAATTACTTCCGTCTTTCAGCACTCGATTTCGTGCTCCAGATCGATGTTGCGTGTATTTTCCGCATCGAGAACAATGCAGTTGGCAGAAGCGGCGTTTTTTCTGCCCACATTTAATCCGCCTCGCCTCCAAATGGCTGAGCAGTGTGTACAGGGTGATGTCAGTATCGGGTGTATTCATCCGCCTGACACTGGCAATGGCTTTCCGTATTTCCTCCACACTAAATCCATATTTTAAAGCCCGTGAAACGACAAAAGCGCGAATACCTTGGTCGAAAAAGTTCTCATCATAAACCGTCACGAATGAAGTTGTTTCTGCGCTACTGCGGTCATTTCCATTACTGCCGGGCTGCTGGTGTCGGGGACTGAGAGTGAGACTGGAAAGCTCCTTATCCCGATCACGCACAATTTGGCCCAGGCAGGTAGTGATATACAAACAGCCAGGGGCATCCCGTGTATGCATCTGCCATGGCACATCGTCGGGCGTCCACTGGCTGACATGCAGACCGCAATGAAAGCATTCCACCCCGTCTCCTTTACCCGTATAAACAAATCCCGCGCGGACTAAATCCATAGGTGTTTGAAGTAGCTGGAAAGGCCAACTTTTAAAAGATCTCAGCCTCTCGTAAACTTGCGCATGTGCAAAATCAAAAGGGCAGGCCACTGTGAGTATTTGGCCCACTTTGTCAGTCGGATCGGGCTTTCCCAGTTCCTTATAGCGGTTTCGTATTTGAGCGCACCAAGGTGTGCTCTGAAGATGATAATCAAGAGGATCGGCTTTGTCTGCCAAGGTTACATCTATCCGCTTGCAGAACAAGCAGAAGTACGCCTCGCTGATACTGACGGGCCGAAATCCCAGTTTCTTAAGGGACTTAATCGAATGTGGGTGAAAATGTTCCGAGGAGATTAAACGATATAATCCATCATCCCCTTCCGTATAAACGCCGGCCTCGAAACTTTCATATAACTGTGCAGCGGCAGACATGTTGTCCTCGTGAAATAAGTGATTTCTGATTTCTCGAATGTCCCGGCGGCTACTGATGCGTCCTTTTATACAGTGTACACACACCACACGCACACACGCTACGACTTATTATTCTGACCTACATTTAGACTGGGCGGGGAATGGAGGTACAGTAGGCAGTGGTCAAGTTTGTTGACTGACTGCCTCCTATCCTTGCGTGACGAGGCCGCTGCCTCTGGTGATATCACTGCCATCTGCTATCATTCCATGAGTCACGACAGTGGCACATAAAAGCCGATGCGTGAATTTGTTTTCGCAGAATCAGTTTGCAGTTTTTCGTCATCATCATGGCCCCAACTTTATCAAACAACTTGGAAATTTACACGAAGAAGAATGCCGTCGACACGGAGTATGCTCGACTTGTTAAGAACAGCCCATTTATTTTGATTGTAAGTACCAGCAAGCCGCTATATATAAGTGTACTGTGAAGCGTATCAATATTAGTTGCGTTGTCAAGCCAAATTTTTATGAACGGATTTAAAATGACCTTTCACGAATACATCTTGACCTACTGGCGCCAGTATAATGGCAAAGCTTTACTGTTTCTGATTTTAATTGCCCAAGTTACAACAATTTGTATGCTGACGCGCAGTCAGGTGACCATCAGCGCGTTAGCTAACCGTACAGGGACCGTGCTGAACGAAAAAGGTTTTCTTATAAGTCAATTTATTAACGATACGCTGCCATTGCTGAAGAGTTCACGGGCATTACTTATTCGCGGCGCGTTTGACTTTAATCGGTTTTCTGGAGAAGTACTAGCCTATGTTCGGCGCAATGGCAATAATTTTCTACTCCCTGCGTATCGGCTGAATATCACGGCATTGCCGTCGACATTTCAGGCAGGAGCTACAAGGCTCGATATTATTCTGTTTCCCGTTGAATACAACCGGAGCAATACCTTTACCTTGGATGAGCCTCAAGTTTTAAGCTGTGCATATTAATATATATTTTTATATATATATTGACAAACCGCACATGTTGCTTGTAATGGGAACAGGAATTTACCGGTCGTGTTTTTCATGTTTTAGCACAAACCTACGTCCATCATGCTCAGCGTAAGCCTCTACCAACCACACGAGCCGCGTATCGATCTCCGCCTGATCAAGCACATTCCACAGGATGATTCATATGCAGCCACTCGCTGTGGATTCTATTTTCCCACCAGCTATCTTCCTGAATTTTTGGCCGCCGTAAAAACCCTAGCATGTCGTGCCAGTGAGTGGGAGAAATCAAACGCGTTTATGCGGCCAATGGCCTTGCAGCCCGCCTCGTCTGCCTCACGTAGTAGCAGCAACAATAAAGCTTCTGTGAAGAAAAATCGCGGAAGTGGAGATGGAAACAGTAAAAAGAGAAGCGTTAGTAGCTTTGCCAAGGCGGCCGCGAAAAAATTTTTGCGCACTTGTAAAGGTGGTGATGTACGCGGTGATCGTGGTGGTAGTGCTCATGTTGGTAGTGGTGGTGGTAGTGTCGAAAAAGATGATGTTGACTCTGATGGTAACGTCGTTAACGAGAGAGCTCTGTTAATTGATGACGATGATGATGATGATGCTAATGATGATGACTATAACGAAGATGGCGACCGCCGCGATCAATGAATGAAAGAATAATTAAATGATGTTTTAAAAACGACTTCTGACACTTTCGTAATAAAGCGATTTTTTATTTGTTATTACACACAGAAGAAGCCTACCAAACAATAAGAAACGTATAAAATTCAAATTAAAATTTCTTCATTCTCTACAGTCATCCGTTCA